TTCATGTGCATTTGGATCATTTGGTATCATTTGGTATCACGAATTATTTGTGACATCAGACATGACACTGGGGCACTCGAGTTTGGGAGGCCAGAGGTCCCAAAGGCTCATCATTGGCTTTGACATGCTATGGCGTGCTGTCCTGAACTATCTGCTGCAAGACTTCTGCAACATGGTTCCAGCCTGAGCTATGAGAGCACCGGGTATTTCCTTGAGCATGTTTTGGATGCTGCAACAACTGCCCTCAGTGCAGCACGTGGCATGACCACTGATCGAATGCCTTTGCTCGCAGCATAAAAACCTGGCCTGAGTCAGTGAGATGGAAGACAAACGTCACTGGAACAAAAACACCAGAAAAGAACAATTCCTTGAGTTTCCAGCAACCCTGCATTGCTGCTGCAATCAAGAAGTGTGAGGCTATGCATTCCCAACGTCTCTACCTTCAGTGGTCTTGGAAAATGGAACGCAATGTTTCACCCACAAGACCACTGGACCCCGACGGCATGATCGATGGCTGCCGCATAAAAGTCGTGGCGGTGTATATCTCCGGCCACTGGCAATAAAAACCTGGCCATGGCATGAGAGTAATGGTCAAAATGATTCAAGCAACGAGCACCCAAAAGCGAGATGGTGTTATACTGAATATTACCAAATGTTTGGCGCCCTGGGCTTTGAATTTTGACCACATACCCATGACAAACATCATGACCCACATTCCCAGGTTGATCTTGTGCATAAAACTTCCGGCCAAAGAACTGAACTGAGGGTCCCTGCTCATTTGTTTCTTTCACTGCAATTCGCGTTGGCTGCAAAATCCTGAAAAACAGTTGATGCAAACACTGCAGGCCTGGCAAGAATGTTTCGAGGATGTTTCAAGGACATGAAAAGAAAAGAAAACAACAACATCAACAACCCACTCGAGGATGCAAATTCATTCAATTTAAATGTTCACCACTCCGGCCCAAACCAAGAAATCCATAGAAATCCCATCTCCGGCCCAGGAATCACCTGGACGGAGATCTGAACGTTGCCACCGTTCCATCAACGGAGTTGCTGTTGGATGGCCGAAGTCGTACACTCATGCTGACACCATGCCTGAAGAGCTTGCCCCTTCGGAACGGAAGTGATAGTATTAGCTTAATATTGTTCCAGCTTTCCTGCACGATGCTGCCCATTATATACAAAATGAACATAAATGAACCATGCAAATGTGTGTGTGTTTGCTGTAATATCGTAAAGTGAGATAGAGATAGATAGAGTATATTCAAGTATCGTTTAGTTTAGTAACATAAAATATTGTGCTTGTTAGGGTAGAGCAATAAAGCATGATGTAAAATGAAGGAGCATACTCTATCAAAACTCATACAGGGTATACGTAGTGATATTGATTGATGTAGTATGTATAGGTGAGAGTGCAGGGCATCCACAAAAATATGTGGGTTTGACAGTATCTATCTTATTCATCGGTTGATTTGTGTATCTAATCTGATCTAACCGAATCTAACCATCTGCCTGTTTCGCCATCTATCTCATTTCATCTTTCTTATCATATATTATCTAAAATATCTTATCATATCTTATCCATCTACCTGCGTATCTATCCGATTATCCATCTACTTATCTGCGTATTTCCTATTTGCTATATATATATATCTGTTTATATACCATGGCCTGTACCTATATTACCTATCTACCTATCATATCGATTTAATTCAAGTACAGGGTCTGTTGCATCAACGAGCATAACTCCATAGGATTCCATCAGCATCAACCGCCACAGGATCCACAGGATTAACAGATACCCAGCTGCGCAATGAACTCCACAGCCATCTCAAGCCACTGTCCAGCCTGTTTCGAGTCACTGATTGTAGTTGCTTTGAAGTGCCTGTCCTCTCCCAAACCAAAGCTGCCATGCAGCCATCATAAATATCATAAGATTTTGTGAATGTGATGACACACTGATCGTTCTTTCTGTTCAATCCCGTGATTGTATGGAAACGGTTTGTCAAGTCAGGAATGGCGAACCAGTGCTTGACAAATGCCTGAACCCGAAGCTGTTTTGGCGTCTCGTGGAAATGCCAATCATCATCGGATAGTTCCTGACATAGATTACAGATGATTACAGGGGAATGCCACATTTCACTGTTTTACTATGATTTACTCATCCCATTAAAAGCAGAGTGGCGTCTCAATTTGCAGAAATTGCTTCCAGCGCTTCAAGAAACGACAGAGTCTGCAGGTGTGTTTTGCTTCTGTGGCCACAGCCCGAAGTGACTAACTCATGTACCCATCATATCCATCGTGCACAACCGGACTGGATCCTGTAGCTGCAGAAGCCATCCCCAGGCAACCTGACATCAAACATCGTTCCTTTTCATCCTTCAACATACTTCGACTTGAAATCTCTTGTGTTTGCATGAAATCAAGAACATTCAATTGCTATCCTCTGGCACACTCAGCTGAGGACATCCCCTGCGAAGTTCCGTGAACCAGGTGCTGTGCTCAAGACCTCTTTGCTTGATCCAAGTTGTTTTTGGGACTCTTGGCTGCAACAACATCTTCCTAATATGGTTACATGGGCTATAGGCTACTGACATGCAAAGAACATGGCCTCCTCCTTCTGCTCGGCCCAAATGTCCCAATCAAATAGAGCCTGAGTCTCAAAAACTGCCGAGGAAAGATGTCTTGGATCTATAAATCTATAACATTATACGGTATAAATCGGTATAATACGTATAATATTCTATAATTTTCTTTGTCAGATGTATCAAGAAGTCTAGATTTGATTTCAGCTGCTCCGAGATCCCAGCTGCATGAATGATACCGTCCGCTTGTGCTTGGATCCTTGGTTCTTCAATCATATTCACTGATATTTACTGATATTTACTGTACCAGAAAAAAATCGACTCTCGCGCCACTGCCGTGCCACAATGCCAATTGCGCCGAGAATCCGGAAAGTTCGATTCTTTGGGACATCATCTGGTGACATCCGATTTAGATCCACCTCTAGAACGCAAATCCTCTCGCTTCGCTTGTAAAATTCAGTACGGGTTGCGCCAAACATAGCCTCTCGCAAAGTTTCGAAAAGCAAAATTCAAGTGTCCTGTCCCAAGACAAGAAATATCATCCTTCATCATATTTTCAGGTTTTTTCACTCATCTTTATTTCATTTTATCATATTTTATCTTTGCGTCTCCTTGGCCTTCCAATAGATGGTATCCTGCAAGCTCCGCAAGCCGGACAGCTTGAAGCCGCGCCAGTCGTTGGCGAACCACGGCGTGGGATCTGCCAGCTGCACCAGAGTGACGTATTGACAGCCGCCCGCAGGGATGATGCGGCCACCGGGCTTCAGTAGCCGCTGTCCTGGCCTAAGAAATATTTCTATCAAAAAAAACAAATGGATTTGGGATGATTTGGGATGATTTCGGTTTTTAGTTTTTTGCAGGAACTTCCAACGAATTCTAGAACTGCAAAAGGCATAAGTCGAATCTCCCCTGTGAATCAGCCAGCAACAGAACGATACAGGGGGCCGTGAAAATGTCTTGAAATGTTAGATCCCAGACCGCAAAGGCAGGACCTGCAAAATGTGTTCATTTTGCCGAATCACATCGAATCACTAACAACAAAAAAGAAAGAAGCGCTGAAAACATCTGAAAACCGGATCCAGTGGCTCGCATCCGACACGAAGGCCAATGCGCTCTCTCCAAGTAGCAAAGTACCGAAGGTTTCAGTGACCAACAAATCAAACGCCTTGGGTTCACCGGTTGCAGCGCTACGCTGCACTTGGGTTGACAGCTCAGCTACAACTTTCACATCGGAGTCTGGAAAAAGATGGCGATTTTCTTCGATGGTCTTGTTCGCCAGATCCGCCAAGCTGGGATTCCTGAGATATACAAAAATCAAGAAAAATCAAAGCGGATGTTTTTAGGAGCTTCAAAACTTTATAGGGAAGGTTGGGTGCCCGTGGTGAGAAAGGTCTTTGACCCCAACCCAGCAATGCTGGAGGTGCAGTCCCAGTGTCGCTTCCAACGCTAAGACTTGGATTGCTCCGAGCTGTGCTGCCAGTATCGCCAGCAAGCCACTACCAGCTCCCAAGTCCAACACACTGCAGCTCGCACACCTCCAAAGGCGACCCAAAACACTGAAATTCATTTGCGCAGCATTGGCATGCATTGCAGAAGGTCGTTTGGGTTCGTTTGGTAATTTCTGTTTTGGCTTTCAGCACTGCATGTGAGCGCTGATCTACAGCCAGTTTAAAGTTTAGATTAAAGTAGTCAAGCAATCCTGCCTTTTCATGGCAGCGGCCAGTGCATTTTGGTAGAAGCTGTTTCGACCAAAGTCATTCCTCGCTTCAAAAACACAACACAAAATCGTCAAATTAATGCTTCACTGAATTTCACTGCTCAGTATTTGTGGATAGCACTTGTCGTTGCTTAATATCTGAGCCAGCACCATGGTGGATCATATTGACAAAGCCGGTCATGCCCAGGATCAGCATGACATAGTGGTCGGCAGAGTCGAAAAGTGGCTTGTTGCCAGCACCAGCAACAACCGTATGATGCGTCGCCAGTAGAGTGGTGATCAGCCAACATCCCATCGAAATTTTGCTATTCCATGGCGCTGACGGAGCGTTTCGGCATCTCTGGGTGGCTACTGTTTGTTAGTTTGCTAGTTCACGCTTTTAGCAATTCCAAGATCACAAGAAAGTGACAAGTTAGGACTATGTGGTCCTGCAATGTCTTGTATCTTGTTGTGTACCGCGACAGAGGACTAAATTGAATTCTAAAGCATATGGTGTAGGATGTCAAGGAAGTTTTTTTATTCTATTGGCATCCTTAACCAAAGCAGCTCAATGCCTTGTCTTTGAGGCTTGTGATCACAGCACGTGGCACGAGCCATGATTCGTGATCCAACATCGCACCCACATGTGGTTATTCGCAAACTTCCTGAGATCAGCTGCAAAGAAGCTGCACGCCGCCAGCGTTTTCCCTTTTCAAGCAAATCAAGAGCCCAGTGCCACCGATTTTGCCATTTGGGCTGACTTGCAAGCACCCAACAAACCTGGCGATACACAGTGGTGGGCCCTGGTGACACTAGCCTTGAAGGACTCATCTAGCTTTGTCTTACAATCGAGTTTATGTTTTCTTCAAGAATCTTCACCACTCTTCGCATCATATTATCATCGTTCCTTCCAGAGCATTTCGGAGCGTTTCTTAATGTCCTCACGTCTTCACGTTGTCTTCATATTCACCACTTCACAGTTAATCTCAGAGTGTCTGCTCGGGCAAAGTGCACGGAATATCCAGAGCCAAGTTAAGTCCAAGAATTCTTGCAAGGTGCACGTTGCAGCAAATCTCGGGCTGGACCTGACAAAGGCAAAAAAAGAAATGGTGGATGTTCTTTGATTTGGATGTGTTCTAACCTTTACCCTTCGCTCCACCACATGCGATCCAGTGTTCAAGAGTCATCTTGCTTGCGTTGGAGATTGTTGCGCGTTCATGCGGCTTTGGGCAAGCCCCACAAAAGCATTTCCGCAGTGCGCCTTCTTCGCCGCAAGCAAAGGCCGCTATGACTGGATTCAATAGGGACAATCCATACCTGCAATGGGAGAAACCCTCGATAATTCCATCCCCCTAACATTAAACACCTGCGTGCTATGGTTCCAAGTATGTAATTTCAATTGATTTCATCCCTACATCCACTTTTTGTTTGGGGATGTTTAATATGAACTTGGGATGTGATTACTATCATCATATCGTTCCCTGTTCCCATGAAAAATTGCCATAATTCCATGGATTTTACTGGTGTATTTGCCCCCCAGTTGTGTCATCCGGCACAAGCGCACACAGGTGCGATCTTCCAGGTCATACCACTGGCCTCATCCTGAACCTCGAGCGCCGGATGTAAAGGTCCCTCCCAATTTGTTCTATATCTTGATTTTGTGGGGCAAATGGATATAATCCAATGGGGTAAAGCACCGCAAGGCACACGCTGATCCAAGAACAAAACATCAGAATCTGTTCAACATAATATAGCATTATGTAATTATATAATTATTGTATTATCATGATGAAAAAAAAGCTTTAAAACATGCAGTTCTGCAAGGCAGATGCTGATCCACTACGACAAAACAGCAATGCAAGGACTTAACCCTGGGACCCAGTATGGCTCAAAAAATCTCAAAAACATTCAATGATAACCTTGAAAGATGTTGAAAGTATGCAGCTTCAGGGTTCTTGATAATCATACAACGCCCAGCTTCATCCTACGAACACATGTTTCATTGAATGATTCCCTCTTCCAAGAAAATGTGTGCTGGGATCCTGACAGCCTTTGCATTCCGGACGGCCTCATTGCCAGCGACTGGGGGAAAAACAAACAAATATATCATCTTACAATGTTGCTCACCCGCTGACCCGTGCACCTCTTGCGCAGGGACGTCGCCAGCCAACAGCAGCACTGCACCCACAGCAGGTGGAAGCGTCCTGTTTGGAGCTACAGCATCACTTGATTTCACGTGATTTTGCTCAAGCTGAACATCTCCAACAAGTCCGCAACAGCTTAGCAGGGCCTTGCCTCTGAAGGGTTCGCACCTTGGGCAAGTCAATTGCTTCTTAAATCTTAACAGATCAGGCGGGAGCAAGGTCAGCAAGGTCTCAGTGACAAGATGCCGTGTACGTTGCCACTTGGTCGCTCAAAGGGACCACAGCTTCAGGACCTGCAAATCATGACCAAGCGGGAAATTGCACGAAATTCAACGAGAAATCCGTCGCAGCTTAACCCCCAAATGGCAATTGTTTAAGGAAAATCATGATCAACCACGGAATTTTGGGTTTTTCCCAACTTCTTCAAACAAACCCAAGTGATAAAGGTATGTCAACAAGTTCCTGTTGACCATGCCTGCTGCGCAAGTGTTGATGCTGAAAGCAACGGCTTCCAAGTTCACATCCTCGGTGTTCCAGCTGTCCAAAAAATCACTCGGTTGCCAGATTAATTTAAGAAAGCACCCGAAAGAAAGTCATGGAACATCTATGATAGAAGCATAACAAACATTAACCCCTAACCATGTTGTTTACCGTCCAAACAAAGGATATCAGTGGATGTCTTGATATTGTTTTGATTTCCCCTCAACCATCCTTAACCCAAGTCCGGGAAAGATGGCTGTTTTCACCAGTGGAGAACGTGTTTCTCAGTGCCAGGCATACTCATTTAGGCAGCGGATGGCATGGCTGTAGAACTGCGAGGGCCACATCCAGAAACACCATGCTGTCATGCCCACAACAAAGCAGTGTTTACTGTACTTGTTATTTAACATAGCCATGGAAAATCACCATTTTTAATGGGAAAATCCACTATAAATGGCCATTATCAATAGCTATGTTAAATTACCAGAGGGTAAGTTTTGAGAACTGCAAGAAGTGTTCAAACAACCAATGATATGAATATATATGAATGATGTGAAAGGGCAAACTTGCCAGCAGCCAGCATCAAACTTTTTGACACACAGCATGTGCAAAGACGCACTCCACACCAGCTGCAACAAGGCGCGGCAAACAACCTGTCACTGCTTGCTGCTCATCAAACATTGCATGGAGATCAGATTCAAAGAAGAACTGAACCGCCAATGCAAGTCATTGAAATTAAGAATTAGTCGCTTGGTCATCTTTATTGTCAGGTTCTTCCAATGCCAAAAGACTCTTCATGAAGCTGCCGAGCTGCCTACACCCACTGGACTTGAAAGGCACTGGCCTCAAATCTTGTGCTTCCACGGGTTCCTGTGGCAGCATCAAACATCATCTGGTTGATCACTTGATCCATACGATCCCCCAATAAATTATTCGTCAGTCAGGTTCATCATCCAAATTAAATAGGATTGAAAATCGAATTCCTTTGGAAAAAGTTTTGACATCACCAAACAGTAATCGAATCCCTTCAACTAGCACACAGCGTTAGTCTGGCCTCTTTTTTTTCGGCTTGATGCGACCTGTTTGTCGATGAACAGCTGCGCCCACCACAGACTCCAAGTTCTTGTGGCCCTGCCATCTTGATCCGCGGGGGAATGTGGTATTGAGAAGACGTTGAGGTTGCATTCCAAGAAGAGAATCGTTCCAAGGTCTCATGTATCTAAAATCAATTAAATTCATATCAAAAAAGCGTGACCATTTGTGATCATCTTTGCCATGCCAAACATGATCGTCCAGTCCAAACACATGTTATCACATGTTGCAATGGCGCCTCTTGCATCAAAAGTTGTGCCAAGTCATCCTTTATGCGACGACACGCCCGAGGTCCTGCGGCAAGCCCAGGATGAAGTCATGTCAAACATACCAGCCAGTATCAATTAATACTCACGAATGCCAATCATACAAGATCATAGAATCATAGGATAAAAATGGATAAAATACTTTTTTGGGGGAGGGGTTCTTGTATGACTTGGATCCCAAGGTTCTCTTGATCCGAAGCTCACTCGCTCCTTCGGCTAAAAGCAGAGAGGAGATTTGTACTGCCTTGGGTTTCCAGAATCTGACTCGGGAGTCGGTGCTGACATAAACAAAAAAAAACTAAAAAAAGCGCCAATGGCACAATGGTGACGACCAGACACATTCGCTCCAGCTTCAACCTCAGCCAAATCAAGGTGCAAAAAACGTCTATTGCCGTCAGATGTCAGTTTGAAAGTTGCATGTTAGATCATCTATTATATAATCATCAAAATGCATCGACTGCTCAAAGGTCAAGCATGGTCAAACCATCAAACATCGAAGTTCTTCCAGATTCCCTAAACAAACATGCTCAGCACATGCGATGAAGGCACAACGGGCTCCAAAGTTATCCAAAGTCAAGGGGTCGAGTACATTTTAGAATTGCAAAAGGGCACATCTGCTGACACCTTTTTTTTGATCCCCAGAAAGATGGCTCAAATTGGCTCAAACTAGGAAAACATAGAAAGACTATTTGCAAAACACAGAGACAACACACTTTGAGTGACCGTTGAAGGCTTCTTGGATACAGAAACTTGCGGTGAAACACTTTAAAAAACAATAATCATCTAGTGCACTGAAGACAGCAAATTCACTTCGCGCGGTAACAATCTGTATGCCAACCGCTGAGATTGCTCTGTTTGCCTCTAAACTCTAAAGAACGAGTCTCCAACTGGCGAAAGCCAATCCGAATTCCAAACCAATACATGGACCCTGAAACAAAACGGGGTATAGTTGCGTATCTCAAATCCATAGTTAAACATCATATGTCCACATTAAAATTCCACAAAAGCTTGCCACAAATCACACATTGAAAGTATTTTCAGACAGGCTACAGCATCCAGAGCATCTCGGCCATGGCGCATGCCACCACTGGCAATGATGACTACATCACCCTGCGATTAGCTGATGGTCAGCTGTGGCTTGCCAGTTCAGCTTGCAGCAAATAGCTGGTTAATGATTCGGTCAATGGATGTTTTTTCCCCAAATATGGCAATAGATCCATTAACCAGCTATTGGTTAATGGGAATGGTTAATGAGAATAGCTGGATGGTTTTGAATGGTTTTGACCCATTCCCATTTTTGCAATCCAACTCTCCTACCAGGCGCCTTGGTTCGTTGGAAAGCTTCCGACACCAGCTCCCTATGCATCCTGCGTGACTCCTGCAGTTGACAAATAACCAAGATCTGTGGTTCTCTGGGTCTCAAATATGGGCCGATGCATACGTTCCGATATGGGTATGTGTCAAAATTGGCCACCCAATAGTTAGATGGTGTATATTAAACATATACTAAAATCTGTGGTCCCATAGGGCTTAAGTTTTGACCCATCCCCATATTCTATTATGGAATTTAACCCCCTGGAACAGCCAGGTTTGAGGGGTCTCTAATTCTTTCTCGCCCAAATGCAGCTGTGTCAACGCCTCTGTGCCACTGCAACTCTCTGCAGCTGCATCATCATGACCTGAGCAGGAGCTAGTGACCGTGCCCTGAGACACTCATCAAATTTGAAACTGCATTGGCACCAGTCAAGACTTTCTAGAGTCACTGGAGTCACTCACTAATTTTGATCTCCTGCATGATGCATGCGGTCTTCGCTTGGGTCGAGGTGTCACAATCTGCTCGATGCTGCCCCTGCTCTGTTCCGATGGCCTGCTCTGTTCTGCACTGTTCCGATGGGGTTTTGAGAAGTTCGATCAATTTCGATCATCTCCTCCAGGGATCTCCAGGGTAACTGTCGGTGTCTTTTCCCATCGCCATCTCAACGTCGCACATATTGCTTGTCCCGGAGGTTGCCCCAGGGTCAAAATGGATGAGTCCCTATAGTCCCTCATGCACTTGTTGGGGTGGCTTCTGCAACGGCATCCTCAAAGCAATTGGAGTCATAGGCAAAGCGCACCTTAGACTTAGACAATTCAAAACGGGCGGCGGGACCTCAAGTCAACCTTTTCCTTCCCCAGTCGAAATACGATGAAATACTTTGATTATGTTGATATGGGTTTGAAAAGTGTTACAAACACTCAGATGATTTGACTTCACTCGACCAAACCTTCAAGTGCAACGCCACCAAGCAGCCACGGGTAAGTCGCTGATATTCCCTCCACGCTGGAATCCTCGGAGGATGGCCTTGGCCACATCCTTCTTGCTGCTGTCAGGATGCATATATACTCCTCCTGACACTAAGCCTCAGCATGTCAGGGCAAGATTTGTATAGATTTGCTCTCGCGTTGAGGTGTTCTCAGCAAATGAGCAGAGGCTGCAAAGTGAGCCACCGTTGCGGAAGAAGGAGAGCCGGAGAGCTGATGATTTTTGACAAGCAACATACTTGAAGAGTTTCAACGCGTGGCATCTCTTTCTGCTGCTCCTCCGTTACAACTGAATCACTGCCCGTCTCCAATTTGCAATGGATGTCCCAAGCAACAGAAGACTGACAGTTACAAGCAAAAGATTGTGATGCTTCCCAAGATTTCGAGTTGCACTAAGCTCCGGACACCTAAGCCTTTTCATACAGCAGGAACTCACAGGTAATGTGTCAAAACCTCCCATTTGTGGGCCCATCCCAATCACCGCATGGTTTTGTTTCAAACTTGGGGAAAAGCAGATTTATGGCCGGTTTCTATGGTTGGTCGATAATGTTTGTTGCTTACACGAATGTTTGATAAGTTGATGATCTATTGACTTGATTTGTTGATTTTTTCCTTGATCTGTTGGGGTTTCAGGTTGTTCATCTTGTTCAAACCGACCCCATCCTTGATCTCCGCATTGTAGGCAGCCACCGTCGCCAGGGCATTCATCGCCATCTCCTCCACCGCCCCAAGGAACTGGGCCTTGGAGTCCACCGTGGGACCATGGCCACCCGGAGCTCCGGTGCCTGCCATCGAATCATAGGGGGTTTAATGAGGTTTACCCTCTGGTAAACTAACATAGCTATGGAAAATGGCCCATTTATAGATGGTTCACCCATTAAAAATTGTGATCTTCAATAGCTATGTTAGTTTACCGGAGGGTAATGAGGTTTTATCCATGTTCATCCATTTTTGTTGGGATTTCAATAGCTTATCAATGAGATTTTGAGATTTCGATATAGTTCAATGGCTTATTAACAGCGTATTAATAGGATGTCATGGGGTACATTATCAACACTCTGGCATTTGAGTGTGTCTGAAAATGGGGTAGACCCCCAATCTATGGCCATCGAATGGTGATAAACCAGTGGAATTGGGGGATACACTGAGATATTCATGAAACATCATGAAACCCCACCAATACCCTCTGGTAAACTAACATAGCTATTGAAAATGGCAATTTATAGTGGATTTACCCATTAAAAATGGTGATTTTCCGTAGTTACGTTAGTTTACCAGAGTGTACTGTGGGGTTAATTTTGCTGGTACTATAAACATTCAAACAAGCTTGAAAACAATCGTTGCAACGTTGCGGATATTATCCCCAATGCGTCGTCTACAGCAATTCCAGGCATAGCAAGGTTTGTTGCACTGTTACATGCACCACAGCTTACACCGTACACAATGTGGCAACTGACTCAAGCCTTTGGGACCCACGACGTACAGCATAGCCACATTCTTCTGACCTACAGGCCATGGCTGAACCGACTGTGTGTGTGTGTTTGTGAAACCGAGGGGACCGCAAAATCTCATTGTTGATCATCAGTTTCCACAAATATATATATATATATATGTATATCTATATATTATATATATATATATTATATTCTATATATATATATACATACATAGAATAAACACTATTTTGGGGCATCTGCCAGTTTCGGACAAAGCCACATCACGGATCATCACGGGCAATTTTTACTTGTTACTGTCAGCATCTGCCATCAGCTCTCAGGTTGCTGCTCAGTGGTCTCAGTGTCCCAAAGATGTCCAGGAAAGCCGCCCCCACAGGATTGAGGTCCCCTTTTGGTCGGCTCTCATGCACCCTGGCCTAAGTTTTACAAATTAAACGAAGGTGTGTCTGAAAATGGTCTACACCTCCCAAATGTCCATTTGAAATCATTTATAGGAAAAATATGGAAACATGATGATACACCAATGGATTTGGGTGATACCCTAGTTTCAGACAAACCCACTGTGGAAACCAAAGCAACATCATTGTAGGCCAAATGCCTGACCCGCAGTTGTGGAAGAGGATAAAAGAGGCATGATGCGCCAGTTCAGCCAGGTTGCATAGCAACCTAGCAAACCCAGCTTCTCCCGCAAAGAATCCTTGTTTTGCAATGTTTTGCAGTGTGCTGGAAAGAATCGGTCTGGATTCACAACATTCTCAAGCGAACAATGGTATCTTCTGAGAGGTTAAAGGCAACATGCAGTGGCAGAGTTTGTGCTGTGAGCGCACTTCCACCTGGTCACCAAGTGACTGCTGCAGGCACGTCAACTCCTCTGACCAAACTGCCGGGAGTAGCGGCAGCAGCCTCCAACAAAGCCTGCGTCCACAATATGTCAACAGCAGAAGCACATGAATTTCCATGGTGGCATGTCAAACAAATGAAAATAAATGAAATGACTACGCCTTGTGCATCTGCTTGTAGTCATTTGAAGCAGGATTTAGTCCAAGCTCTTTGGCAAAAGCAAGATTGATAGAGCCGCCGCCAACATACCTGGGCCATAAGGTTTTTTATTGGCCTGATGCTACACACCTAAAATGAGCTATGTGAACATCAGCACCAGCAGCCGCCTGAAATGGTCACTTCACAAAAGATCTGCCAGGAGACAACAGTCAACAGTCTGTAAGCAATCTGTCACACACTTTCACTAACTCTTTCGCCACAGGACAGATTGTAATCACCAGCGTTCACTGAGGCTGTGTTGGTCTCTGCATCGGCATAGTAGATTGGGGTGTATCCTTCAGCTCCAAGGGACTCAAGTCTCGTGGATCCCTGCTATCTCCGGATGGTTGGAGACTTGGTAACATTTAGCACCAAGATGTCTACATGTTCCCTTCCCGCATCTGACAACTCAATCGGGATTCCTTTGGGCGGACGGCCGCAAAATTCAATCTGCAGACGATTGAAGCACACGTTGCCTGCAGAGCAATTCGGAGTTACCGCAGAATCATCACTGGTGGAGTAGTGCCATTTAAAATCAAGAAATCACTATGAAATCACCAAAAAAAACAATATAAAGGTGCTCACATGACTCAAATGATATCGTGCTCGGCACAAGTGTGTTGGGGTCCTCTTGCCTTGGCATTCAGTGTGCAAGTGTCGCTGGCCTTGCTGATGCCACCTCCACGGGACCGATTGGTGGTGGCGACTCATCTTCAGATGATTTAAGAATATTATAATCCCATTAAACCCATTAACTATCATTCCTGCAATATTATAAATATCTTCAGATGTGTGTTTAGTCCCAGGATGGGCAAATACGTTCGGATATCACTTTTCCATACTTTTCCATCGCCTCACACTGGCCCAGGGGATCGCTCCAGCAGCCAAAGCAGCTGCAAAAAACCGTCGAGCTGGCTGCCTGAACAAAAAAATCAGAATGTCATAGTCGCAATAATGTTGGAATGATATGTCTCATATGTCTCTCCAGTCATCTACATACTGTTTGGCTGAAGGCTGAAGTTCTGGGATATCGCAACTTTGTTGAGTTTCATGGTGGTCATGTTTGCCTTTGTCTGAGACGTTGGCCTGACAGGAGATGGTTTGAGGGCAGGTAGTGCTGCTGTGCAGCACGGCAGCCGCGGAAGCGCAGATAACATGGCTGACACGGCTGAAACGCCAAAAGATTGAGCCGATGTGGCCCACTGGCTTGGACGGTGATCACAAGTAGTGGCACATCGTGGCACTGTTCCTGACAAGGACACATTGTTGACACATACTGCCTTGAACCCGGAATAGGCCCCGGACAGATGATGAGCCCTGCTGCTTCGACTCGCCGGAGCTCTTCAGCGATGTTGCCAACCGCAAGGCGCCGCGCCTGTGGACACGAAGGCAGCTGAGTCGCTGTGGCAGTTGTGAGACAAACTCCTTCATCAAATGTCTGGAATTACTGAGTAACTTAGTAATGCTCATTGCAGTCCTTATGAAAGTCCAACTGGGGCATGCAGTGAACCTGATTGACTATATGTTGTCTTTGTGCAAGATTTTCTTTGGTTCATTCAAGCTAAGGACGAGTCCTCATGACTGGCTGAAGCATTTGGCCAACTAGGAGGCAGCCTGCAGAGTGCCCAGCAAATTGACATAAATCAACACTGGACTGGCAGAGTCCATGCTCTCCAATTCTGGTGGCTCCAACCCATATTCAAAAGAAGGCTGCAGAATGCTAGTCAACTGAAACTATCTCCTAAGTTGGAAAGTGAAATGATGAAACTCGAGACATGAAACCTAGCCTGTCCCTGTTCTAGGTCATAAATTCATATCAATTGCATCAAACTGCATCAAATATCTGTTTTATTTCATAATATCCCCAGATACCAGATTTACCATGATTTACCAGATTTGTTTCCCCCTTACTAATTCTTACGCCTTAGAAAGATGCGCGGCATCTTGGGCATCGCCAGGCTTTCGCCGATCAGCTCCCGCAGCGAGGCCACGAGCTCCGCGGGCTCCGCGCGCTCCGCGCGCTCCACGCGGCCCGCATCCAGCGCCAGGTACTGCACGTGAGGTCCCAGGCGCCGCAGCTGATCCAGCAACTCCTGCGAGTTTCAAAGGTAAACATGACGAAGAACTAACATCCAATCAGATTTATGGATAGTCATGGAAGATATAAATATATTAGTATAAATAAAATTACTAATAAATGTTGATACGGAAAATACATGTATAATTTACAACTATCATTAATTATCTACAGTTCATGGGGGGGATAAACCAACAGACATAGCTGGAAGGACCACCTTGTAGCTGGATGGGATGGCAATAGATAACATGAATCCAAAAGGTGAAAACACAATGACGTGAATGGGTGACTTATGGTGACCTATGGTGACTTGCGGTGACCTATGGTTACCTGGTTGATTGGAAATGAGGATGGAGATGAGGCAACTTTGGGACAATATATGATCAATATGTATGCATGTATGCATGCATATATATATATATATATTTATTTATGGGATAACGCGTGTGTCATACGATGCATCTAAAATGTTACAACTGACTTTCAAAAAAGGCTAGCTGAATCCTTTTTACTACATCCTTCTTCCCCCGTTGGCTCCTCTTTGGTGCCTCCAATTGAAACACCCAAAAGGCCGAAATGGGCGATCTGCTGGCTGGAGTCTCTGGTGCTGAGGTGATGCAGGAGGGTATCACTATCATGACTCCCAGGCACCACAGGCCCCACCTGAGAGGCTTGCATCATCCGCAGGGGAAAAAAAAGAAAGCAGTGGATATCAAATCTCCATTCCTATTTGTAATGCTGTTCTGATTGGTAGTGCATATGCCACAAATATCTCCGTGAATCACTGAAGCTGGTCATGACTTCCCAAGAAGTAGGAATGTTTCAAATTTAATTCAAATTACAAAACCCCTTGCAAAATATATGAACGCTTAATGAATCTTAGTTGCATCATAGTTTCTGACATATCATCTGGAAATATATACTGTGTGGTATAATCTTCTGGCATTCTATTCTGGCATTCTATCTGACATTCTATTCTTGCATTCTATCTGGCATCTTTTCTGGCATCCTATCTGGCATCCTTTGTAGCATCTATACTGACATTTTCTCTGGCGTAACCCGGCAGATCTGTCAACAGAAGCGGACAGCGCAACGCACACGCCACCAAAATGCTCGAGCAATACCTTAATTCAAAAGCGCCACCCTTAATGCTTCAATGTCAACATGTGGTTCTGTGGCATGAGTGGCGAATCCAAGGTTTGCACGGCCATCTTTACCAAACCTCTTTGCGCAGTTGTCGCGCACATTTAACTGTATGAACTAATGCGTGATTTCATCCAATTTTCAACAACCCCGGGGCCCACACACACACTTAAACGTCAGTCAGGCAACCAAACTAATCGAGAAAACAGAACGCTTGATATTTTTAAAGCAGCTCTGCCAGAAATGCAGCACACTTGAGAAGGCTTTTTGGCTCAGCCTCCTCGTTGCCCGAAATTCATGCATCAGGTATGAGATGCAATCCCCTACAGATCTACCACCAAGGGTTCGATACACATCCTTGCCGCTTTGACTCTTTCTGGTCTTGATGGTGCCACTGGCAACCAGCAGGTGACCCCACAACTTCCGCACCAATGGGCTGGCAGCCACGAGCACACGAAGAAAGCAACAGCAAAAAAAGACAAAAGCTAAAGCAAAAGCAAGATAGTTAAAAGCAAAAGAAAGAAAAGAAAGCAAGCAAGCATGCAAGCAAGCGCGTCAGAACGCAAGCACGCAAGCAAGCAAGCAGGCAGGCTGGCTGGCTGGCTTGCAGGCAGACAGGCAGACAGGCAGACACTGCGATCTCGAGCTTGCAGTTGAGGTCCGGCGGGGGTCACTTTGATCCAGAGGTTGCTGTTCAGGTCCGGCGGGTCCGGCGGAGGAGGAGGAGGCGGAGGCGGGCCAGCTGACAATAAAATCTAACAAGCCTCGCCTGACAGGTGGGGAATAACATGGAATAACAAAGTTTGCAAAAAAAAACATAAAATCAGCTCTTTGTGGGATTTTGTGGGTCGGTCCAACCTCCACAAAGCCAAAGCCCAGATCGAAGAAGGCCGGGACGCCCTCCCCCAGTGGGTCCAGGCCGGGTGCTAGGCCCACCGGGGTGAAGAAACGCAGGCCATCCAGGGGTTCCATCACCAGATAGGGATCGTCCTCTGGAAACATCAGGTTCGTCGTATGGATAGTTAATGATAGTTATAAGTTATAAGTATCGATAATATGTGTATATATCATTGTAATATACGTATATAATATATATATATATATAGAGAGAGAGAGAGTGTGTATTTAATGTGTATATAGATATTATGTATTAGTTAAGTTATAAATACTCGATGTATCACCAGCTAGGGGTATCTCGGTATTTCTGATCCGAATGATTCGCCAAATACGAATAATAAATGCAACGTCGCAGTGATCAAACAATGATCGGTTTCAAATGTGTTTGAACCTTTCTGATACAAAAAAAATCTCCAACACAATAAACGGGGTATTGGTAGGCTTTCAGGATGTTTCATAAATATCTGCTTTGGTCTGAAAGAATTGGGTGTAACATCCAAATGGCAATCTTAATACGGTATGATTGATCATAATCCATTGGAATTGGTGGGTACATGTGGGTACCCTATTTTCAGGCAAACCAGGACAAAACCATCTGGAAAGACCTCGAAGATTTGGCTTCACTTCTTCCAAGAAATTGCCAACGCCCCAAACAGCGTAAAAGCATGTCATGGCATTCGGGTCCTTGTCCATGTCTTTCGGCAAGACTCTCCACTTGGCCGCTTGCAGGAGCACATGGCGTTGAGACTCTTCTGAAAGCTTTCCTTGGTCCAGCTTTGAACCAGGACTCTGAGGACCGTGCTCTGGAAACGTGGTTCCGGCATGTTCCAGCTTTCTTACCATACATCGCCACATCGCCAGAGTTGGCTTCTATCATCCTGACCCTGTTTGCTCCATCCATGCGGGATGTTACCTAATTACTGTGGCTTGAGTGATATGTCAAGTGAATAAAAGGGGGAAAAATACAATCATACAATTGACTCTTATTTTTTGTTTGTTTGGTCGTCTAGATGCCAAAGAAGTGATTTGCTCCAAGCAGCTGAGGAAGTATGCCCAAACATCGCTCAAAGTGCTGCTGACGTCGTCGACACAGTAAAACCTGAGTCCATGGTTGAATGGAAAGAGCCTAAATCTGTAGAGCAAAGAATTATGTAATATGATGTAATGTAACAATCTTGCAAAACTAACATAAACATACATAAACTAACCGCAACTGCTGAAGACTCACACTGTTGCATCTGTGAGCAAGGCTTCTCGCAGCTTCCCAGTACGGTGCCCAGCAACAGCCAGAGGATGCCACCAGCAACAACTGCCCCAAGCCAGGCACCGACGTTGGAGTTGAAGGTCTTCCACGCCGTTGATTCCTGGGCTTCTTCAGCAGCAATTTTGCGGTCCTTGGGCCAGTGAGACACCACAATTCCAGATTCTTCTAAACAAGAAATAACAATTGCGGCAAACCTTGGAAAACAGAATATCATACACAATGATTTCACAAAGATTGTCAATCCGCGTCTTTACAGATTCACAAAGAGATTCACTTGCATGTCAAAGTCTGTCAAAGCGTCATATTCCGCGATAAATCGGCGCATCTCTTCCTCCGTTCGCGGCGGCGTCAAAGGTCCAGGTGGCGCCGGCACCTGCGCCATCCACCGCGCACTGAGCGCAAGCCGTGGCCGCAACGATGGCACGGGGCATCCCCATCTTTGGAGGGCGCGAAGTGCTGGAAGTCGCACAGCCATGGCATAGAAGTGACAAATTAATATGAAAAACGAGAAAATGAATGCATCAATCTATGTAGAATAATTGTAGAATGATGTATTTAAAGAAACCTACTTGAGGAACTGACGTGATGTGACCTTTTCCGGTTGGGACAGTCCAAGGGAAACACAAAAGGAGTTTGTTTTTGCCCTCTAAGTTCAAGGTGCTTGACAACAACTGCAACCTGCGACACTCCATGATATGTCAGTCTGCCTGCCAGCGTTTCTCAATCTCAATTATGTTTCAAGGGAATGGGGTGGATATTGGTGTTTAATCTTGGGCCTCGGACCTGCCTACAGTCAGGCTTGGGCACAATAGGTTCTGACAGTTTGAGACGAAAAGTGTCTGATCGCAAGGCGAAGTGATCAATCTGGATTCTTGCAGCAAAGCATTTCCAGAAGTGTTTGTGGATCAACACCCGGACCCCAAAAACTGGATGAGTTTACACTTCACACATACAATAACCTAGACTGTGGGTCCAGTCTTGCCCCAATTTTAGAGCTGTCATCACATCGGAAAAATCAATCTTGCGGGAGTGGCGCTGCACAAAACCTCACACTTTGACAGGCAAGGCGAGCACCCGCCTTCTCACAAACATAAGCGGTCCTCTCTATTGAGTGGCTCCTGAACAGCACTCAACCCAGGATCCATCTAAGACGAAATGCTCAGCTAAGAGGTTTATATACTGGTACACTCCTTTTGTTCATTCAGAAAAAGTAAAATAAAAAACATCCGCAGTGGCCAAGTTTGACCATCCAAAATCGATCTGGGTTTGTCTGGAAATGGTGTACCCCCAATTTATGGCAATTCGAATAGGGAGATTCATTATAAACCATCAGAATCCATCAGATTTGGGGATTATAAACCATCATAATTATAATTAACCATCAGAATTAGAATCCATCAGATTTGGGGATTATAAACATTTATAAACCATCATAATTCATCCATTCTTTTCATCCAAACTCATCTGTTTTGAACACACACGGGGCACCCGGTGTTCTGGGAGGTCTGGATCTCAGCGATGAAAGCCAGGCCATTGGCCTCCGCAGCCCCTGATATCAGTACTTGATGTACCAGTTATCAGCTATTATGATATATCATGATATATCATGTATCTTGTGGGAAATTCATGTGTCATCATGTATCATGATATCTATCATGATATATATATATATCCAATATTGGAAAAACATTGCATGGCTTCTGACATGTGTGTTGACCCATGTCCACATCAATGCTGTGCTCTTTCAACACTTGCATGCGTTTGTCCGAAAATGGCGATACCAAAAGTTGCCATTGCCATTCTTCATTCCAATAGGAAAATGATGATCAACCACGGGATTTGGGGGTACCCTACCAGTCAGTATGTTCAGAAAAACAAAAACGTATGACTACGCAGACACAGACACCTGCATTTTCCTGGTACATCATGAATCATGCAAATGCCATGCCAATCATGCCAATCGTCAAGTACTCCTAAGGATTCCAAACGTACGCATTCTAAAATGCAACTGAAGAGCTTCATTGGAAGTTCATGCGAGAGAAACAAGTGAAAAGGAAGATGGTGTTGCTGCACATCATCACTGCCCTGAAATGCAGTTTCTTCTACAGCCAGCTCACAATCATCATCTACATTTGACGCTCCTCCTACTCCTCCCGTTGGCCTGACAAATGCGAGCAGCCCTTGCAAGGCAGTCTGTGTTCTCCCACACGCTGACATCCGTCGGCATTTCGAGGTTGCACTGGCAGCAAGCTCCGCGGATTTGTTTCAAAACGCCAGGTGCTCCAGTGATACCAAGTCTTCAGTGTCAAGCTTTTGTTCAAAGCCACTCTCGATGGAGAACGCCACTAAACATGGAAAGGAGCTTGTCTTGAGATGTCTTGAGTTTGGGTGCAGCATTCTCTAACATCATCAGGCCTCAACTTGCGTCCGCCACTTTGCAAGTCTCACCCCGGACTCGTAGAAGTCCTGACGTTGGGTCTTAGACATCAGATGACATCAGTACAATGTGGAATCGGTTGGGATCCATTGGGAGCTGCGCGTGAGCAGGTCAACTTGCCATGGAAACAGACATGTACCAACTCTACAGCCTTAGCTGATATGGATTTGTTCATCATAGTTGATGTTTATATATATTAGTTTATTGTAGTACTCAGTACACTTGGATGATCTTGGATGCCAGAAGTACCACTTATTATTGCATGAACACACTCAGCCGCCTGGCAACGTTCCTCCAGCATCACCTGATTTCTGCTCAACAACACCTATTGGATACGAATTACTCGAAGAGATGTCAAAAGAAATGCTGAAACGCTGGCTTTTGTAGCACCAAAAACTTGGTGTGCCACCATTCCTTCTGTGCCCTTTTCGCCAAAGCTATTCAACCTCAGCAAGCATTGCCAGGTGCGCAGATTCACCCGCTGTCGTGCCTTTCTAGAACATGGCATTCCGACTACGGTCAGATCGGGGAAAATTGAGGAAAGAGAAATCTTGTCTTTGGACTTCTCCATCTTGCCTGTTGCAATCCGTCACCAAATGCACTAATTGCACTGGGCTGAAGAATTCGAGAATGACTGGGATCAAGAACGGCACAAAGCCCTGATCCACTCGCATCTGGCATTTTTTTTGCGCAGGCTACTCTTCTGCTTTCTAAGCACTCCCACATGATGTGAAACATGGGAAATGCTCGGGAGTGCCTTCAGCTAAACAAAAACAGGACAGCAAGGCGGCAGACATCACCTGAAGGCCCAATCAGCCAGATATTTGCATTTCAAGAGACTGGAATAATGACTCAGAAAACTAATACCATTCAAGACAAAAACAAACAAATTGACACACAGCAACTTGATTGATGGCCAGTTGAAGTCAGGAAACCATAGGAAACCTGTAAGATGGTGGGTGAACCATGGTGAACCGGTGTCCGAAAACAATAGTGGTGCAAAATGGTGCAAACATGTACAAGCACTCACAAATACTGCGTTCTGCTTGAGTTTGGCACACCGCCATCCAGCAGGACTTGGGGCAAAGACCTCTCATGACAAGCACCACTGAAAATGGACATGCAATAGCCATTAATTGCCTAAGCTTATTGGGTTATTGGCTGCTCAAACAAAGTAAATTCACCAGGTCAATATAGATTGACAGCAAGCTGCAGCGGGCACCTGCCATCATCAGTAGTGAACTTCAGTGCTTCCTCCTCCATTAGAACTGCGGAGCAGTACCTGTGAAGGTCAGGATTTACAGACCCAACTCGGAACGCAAGCTGAGGAATCTGTTGAAGCTTCCGAATGGCGCAAAAGCATAGAAAGCCTGTAGAAAACCCGTAGAAAACCTGTGTCGCCCACTCTTTCAAGTTTTCAAAGCCATAGCAGAACTCCCGCCATTTCTGGCGATTTTCCTGCGACGAAGCCGACGAAGCCAGACTTTCACCCGTCTTCAATGGGAACTTGGACAAGATATGACAAGGACAAGGGCCTCGCTGGGATCCATGCCGGAAGTCTCTAGACCTGAGTCAATGATCAGAATGCAACACGGTATGGTCCCAGATGTTGGAAAGACATGGAAACACTCTGTATGTCACTGTATGTTGCTGTGATGCTTCTTTGATGCTTGAAGATCAAAGTCATGTTGAAAGTCATTGAAATCTGCTGTGGACTGTAGTCTGGCCATCAGGCGCACGGGCAGCGGAAATTCTAACTGGGACTCCCGCAGGCCGAAAGCTCTTTCCCAGCACTTTCAGCCTTACAAGCAAGACTATTTAGATCCCAAAGCATCCTAAAGCTATGGTAATACTCATGCCTTACCCTTAGTTCAATCCTGTCATCAGCCTCTTGGATTTGTATGTCCAATTGGAGTCCACAAAGGATCTAGCAAGAAATGGCGATGAGATGTTGCTGCCAAGGGACATCCAGCAAACCAAGTCCCTCTCCTGTTAAGAACTTGACGTTGGCCTAGCAATGGATGTTGAATCTGCAGTCCTTTGCTGGCATGTTTGACATTTTTTACAGTAAGGTTGATCTATGGTGTGGTCAAAGAAAAAACGTGCACTCTATGGAACCAGAGCCAAGCCTGCATCTCCGACATAAACGGGTTGATCGGCTCAATAGCAAATGGTTGAAGAACGCGTCTTGCACACCTACCAACAGTGCAATAGGAACACTGCTTGCAACAACCCCAAGTGTTCTCAAGCAAGAATTCCCCTGCGACTTCCTGAAAAAGATGTTGTAGCAGCGTCAAAAACACCATCTACAGCCCACAAGACTGACCTCTTTGGGCGTCGCAAAGAAGATGCTGCAGCTGCCAGACCGACAACAGCCGCCCTGCAGCAGTGATGGACACTTGATTTGGCCAGTAGACTTAATTCTGAGTACACCAAGATCATCCAAAATCCAAAGGTTAAAAAATGGTTTGAATTTCAACCAGTTTTATTATTTCTCAGCTGCAGGTCATCTTTCCTTCAGCTGTTCCTTGGCCTCGCTTTGGGACGGTACGGCTCGCGGGGCGCAGGTGAGGCACCGCCGGCTCCTGGACATGGCCTTGCCACGCAGGCCGGGACCTCGCGCACGGCCCACCCTGGATTAAGAAAGCCCTAGGCTGCCTAGGCTGTTTCATTGGTGGTACCAATTGAGTATCAGATTGTCAACATTTGGATCATTTGGAAGGTACCCCTACAATAAATAGACCATGGTTGATTCATCCGGCATTGCCATTACTACATATTTACAAATATATACTATGTGTATATTTCTTCATGGCATTCAAAGTCTACAGATCAATGGGTGTTTCTCCGTCCTGCACAGCCACCAGCATGGCACAGGCAAGTTGGTTTATGTGAGTTGCAACTTGAAAGTACCAACTATGGATGGTTGTGCATTATTTTTCTCTTTTTTCCTTTCTCAATTTCAAAAAAACTGATAATCTTCAGGGTGGATGAGAATCTTCACAGTTGAAGCAACGCAACTTGAAGTGTGGAACCATAGCCACTTGCTGTCGCAGTTCAATGTGCAGCTTTATGCTTCAAAACATCCGTCTTTATCAGGCGGAAATAAACGCAAGAAGGTTACGATGTTTGATGTGGAAGCATGGTCGGAAAATGACCAGAACTTCGTCAACATTGAGCTCTGCAGTCTCTACAGACTCGGCAAATCATGTTCTGCTTCTTGATCCAACTGCTGCAAAACAGCAATCTAGATCAATCTAGTACCAGAGGATATGGATAGGCCGGCAACCCAAGGTTTGACTTTGCAGTAAGGGGAATGGCATGACATACAGTTACAGTACGCATCAGTACGCAGCAGTACCGCATTTCCAAGCATGACTTTCCTACCAAGTTGCTGCTGCAATCTACTGTAAACCTCACGACTCCTCCCGAGATCTTTTCTGCTTCTGCTGAAACTCCGACAATCTAGAAATTTAGTCGAAATTCTTGTCTGAGCATGCTTGAGAGTCAACCTTGCTTTCAGCTCGCACCACTGAATGCAGCTGTTTGGCTGATATCCCAAGAGTGGATGAACACTACCTCAGAACATCTTAGAACCCTACTCGCAGCAGATCAGAAAGCGGCATTGGTATCAAATACCACTTTCTGTATGTTGTCCATAGGATTGGGATTCAATGAGCATCGTTCATTGATAAAGAAGCTACACCCATGCTGGGTGGAACAGGTCAGAAGGCAAAATGAAGATGTCGTTCAGCCCATTTAGACTATATATATCGATAAGTTTTAAGTTTGATACTTTGTCTCCTGGTTTCCAGTTGAACGTGCGGTTTGTACTTAGTCTCGGGGTTTTCTTGGCGGTCTTGTCCTGAATGCTGTGATGAAATCACATCATTCTCTGAAACCTCTGGGCTTTGCCAACAACATCCAACAACCAAAATCCCTGCCACTGTCTCAAACATCGCAGAGGAAAACATTCAACATGTGCAGCCTGCTTTTCAGCGGGTTCTGCCCATATCGCAGCGTGGACGGTTCAACCGCTGCACGGCCCCGAGTCAGACCTGGGCCGGGTCATGTGCCAAGTGCCAAGGTATGAGATGAAGAGATCCCAACAGGAAATGAGGGATCATGTGATCATCCCTGTTATAATCTGAAGTTATCCTGAAATTATCCTGAAATATCCGGAAATGTTGCAAACATCATTGAAGACATCTCTGATATTTCTCTGATGGTCTCTTGAACTGCTTGAACAATCTTGAACATCTCATGCAGCATCATGCAGCTCAATAGTTAAATGAGATTAAATGAGATTCAGAGTCCCAACTCGCTCACCTTTCTTGTCAGCTCTGGCGGATAGTCGATTCCTTCCCCTCCGTGAGCTCGACGCACCACAGGGATTTGTACCCTGCGATCTGAAGCACTTCGCGCTGTCGACCTACATCGTTTGAACATGTTTGAACCATCTCCCCTCTTCTGCTTCTACCAGAACTTGTGGAGCCAGGCTTTGGTTGCTTGATCCCTTCGGGTTTCTTCCTGCGAGAAACAGGCTCTTCTCAAGATCAGTTTAGACTATATCGTCCAATGGACTTCATCAGCAAAATGTACTGAATTCATGCTTGCCTGAAAACAGTGAGAAAGAAATGAATGCCAATTTCACCTGCACTGTGGTCACATGTCCTGGTGACTATAAGTGGGTTCGTCTGAAAACCAGGTACTGGTACCATAATCTTCCCCTGAAATGGCCATTTGGGAGCACATTAAAAGTCGCACCTGTGTTGCATTTGCGTGGCTATTCAACAAGAAATGTTATGTGCAAGCAGCAAATTGGAGCTGGAGTTCATTCAAACATTGAATGAACTTCTGCTGTAGGCTCAATTCCAAATCTCTGGAAAGAATTATTTGGTAAATTTCCAGTGTCAAACTTGTCATCAGTAGATGTGCCTTTGTAGTCAGAGATTAATTATAGTCTCAAAAATTCACCACAAAGGATCTTTACAAACTAGTCAGAAAATGGTTCAACCTGATCATAGGTCGACAAATGAGAAGGGTCAAGGGAGACAAAAACCTGTCCTCTTCGGCATCACTTGGCTTCGACGCAGCCGCGGTAGCTGCGTCCTATGGTTCACACAAACACTGCCGGATGGACAAGGGTGAGGACCAGATTGACCAGGATAAGGAGGAATCGACTATGATGACCATAAGGCCATGAGGCTGGCTACAATGTACTACGTACAATCATGGTGAACCAAACCACTCAAGTCTTAAAACCATCCCACTAGCTTGCATGCCACATTTTTTGTCATTACTGCCTTGCACGCTTTTGCTATGTTTGACGAGTGCCAAACAGTGGCAACATGTGGCAACTGGCGAGCCATGTAAATCCAGGCAAAGCCCAGCAGGTCCTTGTTGCTTTGCTCAGCATTCGCTTCACCCTCAGCCGGGGTGGCCTTTCTGGAGTCCTCAGCTGGAGTCCTTGGAGTCTTTGGAGTCCGTGGAGTCTTCGCATCGGCTGCCGTATCTTCCCTCACTGCCTTAGCCATCACGTTCTTTTCAATCCTGGCAACCTCAAGTTTCGAAGCCTGAGCATTCGCAGCGTCAGCTTTCCTAGCCCGAGACATAATCGCAGAAAAACCAGAAGCACAAGCGATGTGCCGACCTTTCGCAGCATCGGTTGTTGCGTTCGTTTCGTCAGCATTCGCTTCGGCAGCATCAACTTTCACAGCCTCAGCCTTGGCAGCTTCAGCTTTGGTGGTGTCAGCGTCAGCTTTTGCAGCCTCAGCTTTGGCAACATCACTTTTCTCAGCCTCAGCTTTGGCAGCGTCAGCTTTGGCAGTATCACTTTTCTCAGCCTCAGCTTTGGCAGCCTCAGCTTTGGCAACATCACTTTTCTCAGCCTCAGCTTTGGAAGCTTCAGCTTTGGCAACATCACTTTTCTCAGCCTCAGCTTTGGAAGCTTCAGCTTTGGCAGCGTCAGCGTTGGCAGCATCACTTTTCTCAGCCTCGGCTTTGGCAGCTTCAGCTTTTGCAGCCTCAGCTTTGGCGACATCACTTTTCTCAGCCTCAGCTTTGGCAGCCTCAGCTTTCGCAGCCTCAGCTCTGGCAGAATCACTTTTCTCAGCCTCAGCTTTGGCAGTGTCAGCTTTGGCAGCATCACTTTTCTCAGCCTCAGCTTTGGCAGCATCACTTTTCTCAGCCTCAGCTTTTGCAGCTTCAGCTTTGGCAGTGTCAGACCTCGTAGCCCGAGACATAATCGCAGAAAGACCAGAAGCACAAGCGATGTGCCTACCTTTCGCAGCATCAGTTTTTGCAGTGTCAGCTTTCGTTTCGTCAGCTTTGGCGGCATCAGCTTTGGGAGCATCAACTTTCACAGCCTCAGCCTTGGCACCTTCAGCTTTGGTGGTGTCAGCTTTGGCGGTATCAGCTGTCCCAGTGTCAGCTTCCGTAGCGTCAGCTTTGGTGGCGTCTTTGCCAGCATCTTTGGCTTCAGCTGCCATCTGGTCCTCCACATCGGTTCACAATGTCTGACTGCCATAACTCTGCCAATGTTTGTTACTCCCTTGCCACATGCAGTCAAGTCACTAAGGTCGGCATCTGGCAAGACACGATAGGGCTGACTCCTGTATCCTGGAGCAAACAAACGAAGGTAGCAGCGCGAACAACTCTACCGAATATGAGTCGTGAAGCCAGACCCCTGATTCCTCTATTTTCACCCAGAGCTCTTTTAGATCTGAGATTATCTCGGATTCTGGGATTGTTGGTACCAGAGATGACTAGCTTCTGGACCTTTGCAGCCAAGAGTCGTTTTGCACAAGATCAATGAACTCATCTGCAGAACGCAGTTGAAGAACTTTGTCCTGATGCAGACCATCAAAAAGGATGAGGGCAAGCAGCAACCACCAATCTCTTTTTCGAAGAATCCTTCCTTTGCATCAGAATTGCGTTTCCTATGTTTCCTTCATTGATCTTTGATTAACAGTTGAACAATCAATAGATATCAATAGGTGGCATGGTCAAATCACTGCCTTGCACACTGCATCATCCACTTCTGCTGGAGCCAGCACCATTGCACTCTGTGCCTCGTCACAGCCAAGGACTGCGGATGAATGCTGTCTGACTCTCTCTGTATGTACCAAAAATATGGGTACAGGATGGTACCGGTCACAGCCCTGCTACCCTGGTACCCTGGCGTTCACCAAGCCGGTATAGTAGCTGTATAGCTATAGCCTATAGCTCGAGGTATACCACCAGAATATGGGAAAACATGGAACGACACAGGTTCTGACGTTACCCAAAGAGATCTGACGAGGCGCCAGCAACACAAGTTTCATCTCACCATCTGTCAGAGGCACCACGGGTGCAGGGTCTGAAGCAGCACCTCCAAAGCGCTGGTCCTGCGTGTTCAAGACCTGAGTCTGGCTATGCTATGTGGCATCCTATTAACTTTCAGTTTCAAGTTTCAACATGTTTCAACTAGAAACCAGACCGGTGCACATAGTGTCCAAAAGTCCAATTCATGTAGAGCGAACGGCGCACACTTCCTAAGAACTTGGACTCTGGCACACTTGAAGTTACGGGTGACCCCTGCAAGCCGGCCGGGGTCAATCTGCTCCATGCTCCAACTGTTTCAATGTTGACTTTTGCTTCAAGGGTTTGAGTCTGAGTCTGCAAGTTTCCTTTTCCTTGAGGCACCTTTGAGCCATTTGCGAGCCAGCCGAACAGTCGAATGCTCAACGCACCACTGGTTACAGCTGGCCTTTCAACCGAGGAATGTTGAGGCTGAGGTTGGACACCTTCCCCGCGCTGAAGTTAAAAGCAAAGACGCTACAGCCACGACTGAGGATCAAGAGCTGTTTCTTCTCATCCTGCAGGATGATTTTAACTGTCAAAAAGAGGGGAAAAAAACGCAATGTCCAAAATCCAATCATTGTTCTTGGCCCTCGCATGATGAATTGATGTAATTACATGTACATGCCGTTATTATCTTCTATAAAGATAAACTACAGCAATTCCAAGCGGAAACTCTCTGTAATTCAGCCCCTCTTCTTACAAAGCTCTGTCCTTCAGCAGAATCTCTGGTGCAGGATCCACAAGCCATTGAAGGCAGCGCTCTGTCCGAATGAGGCACATTTGAAACATGACCAACAGCTTGTGCTTGCCGGTCTTGTCCTGAAAGTTTGGCATTCAATGTAGCTGAATGGTGCAAGTATATAATACAAGTAGCCCACATCTGTAGAGTTTTGGCCATCTTTGAACTGTAGCTCACCCTGTGCAACAGGCCTCCGCCAGTTCAAGAGGTATTCGTGCAAGTTTGTCGCTGAAATCATTCCCTTTTCTCGGGTAGTCTACTCTTCCTTAGTTCTGGAAGGATGCGACCATAGTCCATAGTCATACGCCAGATGACATGCTTGTGATAGGCTACATTGAGCAAAACAATACCCATGGCTGCCGTCGCTTTGACGCTGCCAAGACACCCTGCCAACCAAAGTCACTGCCCAAGCAGCTCAGCGTTGCATCACCGCCAAAGGCAAAGGACAAAAGGCCTTGGGTCTGCATAGCCATGATCATGCATATCATGTCAGAACTGCCACGAACATGGTCACACTGTGAGTCACACTCGTGCAATGTGAAACTGCCACTTGTAGAAAACTTGTAGATGCTCGTGGTCTCAGTGAATGTCCCACATGGAGGTTTCCTGAAATAGGGGTATCCCCAAATCATCCATTTTAACAGGGTTTTCCTTTATAAACATTATAAACAAACCATTTTGGGGTACCGCCATGTATGGAAACCCCCGTATGTCCATGTGAAATTCCGAGGGGCGACATAGCCTCAGCAGCCAGACAGCATCAGCACCCAGCGCAGCTGCCAGTGGACGACGGCGAACGAGAGCCCGAGGAGCCTCCTGCAATGACTCGCATTGAATGGTCATTGGTTTGCGTAGGTTTCGGTCATTTGCATCATGCATTCCGTATACTGATAGATATTGATAGATGATGAGTTTTTTAGATAGTTTGTGTGTGTGTTGTCTATCAGTTGTCTGGGTGCATGTGAGTATAAGACCCATTCAAAGGCAAAAACAATACCAGGACTTCAACTTAAGGCTCCTGCAAGCCCAGCATGTTGATGTAGAACTCCTCTGTTCGTTTTGCAATGTTGTCCCAAAGAAAGCTCTGTTGAACTTGTTCCCAACCTTGTTGACCCATCCAGCCTGAGCAATGAAGGATGCACTGATGACTATCCACATACAATGATAACAAAAACTAGTAAAACATATCGAAGCGATTGGTTGCCAGGCAGCAAGCGTGTTCCCGGTTCTCACAGATTTTGCACAAGCCCCAAGCCAAGCTTCCAGACTCCTGTCCAGTATGACAAGTGAGCAGTCAATATCGCTGATGATGGTTGTTTGCTGGGGTTGTACTGCAACTTCAGATGTTTTTTTGCTTGTATCCCTACTTGGCCCTACTTTTTTCATGGCTCGACCATAAATACCATGAGGAAATTTGATCGCGTACCTTGCAGCAGATCTAGAAAACGTGTTCCCATCAAAAAGTTGGAGAATTCCCCATCATCTCCTGGTCCGCTGTGTAGCCTGTGCAATCCGGTTTGATCAAGTGGCGTAGCTCACCCGAAGCAATGCCGATGACAGGCCTCTCAAAGTGAAGGTTCAATGCTATCAGAGGTTTGTTCTGAAATTGGAATATAGTCTGAACATGACAAAATGTCTGGAAACATACGATGGCTTTGTCTGAAAACAATTGAAAATATAGTGCCCCAAAATCCAGTTGTTCATCGTCATTTTGTCGATGGAAGATGCATTTCAGCTCCACCTCGCTGCGGCCCAGCTTTCAATCACATCCACGCCGTAGAAATCCGAACGTGATGGCACTGCAACCTTGAGGAGATGTGTGAAACTGTGAAACTGTGAAACAACCAATTTCAATTTTTGTTGGTGGTTCTGTGGCTATCCCAGCATTGGGTTAGGACTACAAGTAAGAAACTCCCCATCTTTCAGGGTACAAACGATGCAAAACCATTGAAAGACCATGGTTTCCAAGGAATGTTTATCCGTGAAAACAATCCAGTGAGGTTAGTCTTGTTGTTGGATTTTCTTCTCGAGAGCAGCAGCATGCTCTTCAGCGATGGATGCTGAGCAGGATGCGGATAGGATGCTGGATGATATTGGGATGTTGGTCAAGATTCCAAAAAGCAACAAACAAAGACCAGATCAACTTCAGATCAACATCCTAAAATCCAGAATCGTTCATCCGAAGGGGATGTTCACTTGTGTACCACAGTTGTGACCCATTCCCATATCTGGTATTCCATGGTATTTTTGTGTATTTTTAGAACACAGAATTACACATAATGATGCAAACGAGCAGCGGCATCACAAGCTTCCAGGTATCTGCGTTTCTCCTCTCCTTCGCACTTGGAGACCTGGTTGGGCTTTCCAAGGCATTCATTCGAATGCAATGGAAGGCACAAAGTGTGCTATCATTACGAACGTTGAAAAACAATGCGCCTACCCTCTGGTAATTTAACATAGCTATGGAAAATCACCATTTTCAATGGGAAAATCCACTATAAATGGTCATTTTCAATAGCTATGTTAAATTACCAGAGGGTAGTTATCCGTAAATTTAAAAAGGAGATGGCCACTGATCCCGGCCAATCCATGACCCGTCCTTGAAGGTCACAGCTTTTCCGATGCCCAGCTCTTCAATTCGCCGCTCCAGGCTACCACGGAGGTGCCCAGTGCCTGGCTGGTGAAATTTCCATGGGATCTGGTCATGGAAATCTGGTTTTGGGAATTTCATGGGAATTTCATGGAAATCATCACCATTAAGCACCATTAACCACCATTAATCACCATTAACCACCATTAAATCACCATCAAATCCCAGGTCTTGAACTGAAACTTTTGAGCTTTGTCATGGCTTCTCTGAGCTTGTCTGATGCTTGGATGGTGCAACCACGCCTACGATGACAAAGTGTGCATCATGCCAGTGCTGAAGGACGAAAGGAATTGCCTGACAGCTGAAAAAAAAGGTCGAAAGAAGTCAATTCACTGCTCATCCAAACGCTTGAACATAGTAAGTATAGATTTGAATAGATTTGACACAAGTCAATATAATATCATGATAGCCAGACAGAGCTATTGGCTTCTGTTTTCTTGTTCAAACCAAATTAAACCGGGCCATTTCACCTGCAAGGTTTCGTAGGGTTTCAGCATGTTTCAACAGTGGGTTCCCACCTCTACCAGAAGGTCAACGCCTTTGTGGGGCAACAATCGACCTGTATACAGGATCACCTTGGAGAGGCATCGACTTGCAAACGCTAAAGTGAGGCAAAGGGTTGATCAAGAAATTATCAAAGATACAGTATATCTTTACGAAATAGATCCAACTGGAATCAAATAATATCAAAAAGATATCTGGGATTCATTAGATACATAGAACTTGTATGTGCCTACGGTCAACTATCTCTGCACCATCAGACCTGCAAAAGGGATTGCCTACCAATCATGCAAGTCCAAGATGCCGGTGAGTTTTCAGGAAGTCCCAAGGTCTCTCTGGCTTCCTTCTGCGCCTCTTTGGAACTCTTCTTTTGGGCAGTGGTGCCTCACAGATTTTTCTTGGCTGACAAACTCAATGCAGAACAGTCTGTGAATATCTGTGAATCATAAAACATGGCTCTGCGGCCTGCAGATCAAAGGTGAACGGCCATCGAATCATCCAAATCATCCAATTGAATCCTCAAAAAATGAAACACCTCTGCAGAAAAGCTGCCATTGTGCATCACGGAGACGTCTTTCCCCTCCAGTCCATATTGACTGTACATGCTCTCACCTTGGTGAGACCAAATCTGTCTAAGAACGTGTCTCTTCAAAACACCAGAAGCTGGTGAATCTGCGGGAAATGCTGATCTGGATGTGTCAAAAAAAACGAAAACAGGAAATCCGCAATTTCATGGTTCATCTATGTCCATCTATGTCCATCTATGTGCATCTGAATTGGTGGGTGAAAACGCCGGGGCCCAGTGGACATGACTGGACAAGCGTTCGCAGACACTGAGATCCCTGCGGACTGTCTGCGAAGGCGCAAAAAGCTGATCGATGGAGCGGAAGGCCTCTCCTTCAAGCTCCACAACTTGACTACTCTGTCCACCTTGGCCCCACAATCCCCACATAGATCCATTTTATGGATCTAAACTAGTAAATGTATCCAATGCTGTGGCTGTTGGGACGAAAATCATCCAAAATCCCAGGAAACGCCAAAGAAACACCAATGAAGAATCATAGATTCTTGGTGAGTATTGGTGACATAGTGTGACATGAATCAGCAACAATCATTGCCGACTATTAAAATCGCGTCGCGGTGTGTGCTCTCAAACGTTCAGCATTGAGTGGCTGACCAAATTCTGCACCAGCCGATCGTCCTTCCTCGGTGGAGTGCGCCGTGAGGACAAAGTGCAAATCCTTTCGCAAACCGCTGCGAGCGCGCGCCACCAGCCTCAATGGAGATCCCTCACAGTTTCATTCTGCTAATTCGGAGAAAACAAACATTGGGCTACTTCCACTTCCAGTTGCTCCACTCACTGATCCCGTTTGGATTTGGTAGACTCATGTAAGTTCAACAGCCGAGAAAAATTGAGATCACGTTCCAGTGGTCGTCAAGCCGCCACTCATGACCATGCGCTACGTCAAAGTGCCCAAAGGCGGCCTCCCACTGCGTGATGGCATCTGCCAGCGCCTTGCAGAAGTTTGCCGTTTCCTCCACAAAGTCCATGCTCAGCAGGTAAGGCACCTCGACACAAGCCCTACGAAAAACCCCACAGGGACCACAGGTAGTATTCATTGCTCATTGCTGGCCTGGGTATGATTCAGAAGTGCAATACATCCACCAGTTGGTAGATGGTTTATCCCATCATAATCCCATTATTTGCAGTGTTTCATAGCTACTAATAGTTACCAACTGGTGCAGGATTTCTTCCCATCCACAGTATCATTCATAATATATATATATTATATAACTTATATATTTGATACACTTCTTAAGTGCCCACCTCATGGTACACCACTCCATTCACCGTCTCCACGTTGATTTTCAAGCCATGGCTGGCTCTGGTGAAGACGTGGACCTCATGGCCTCTCCTGACCAGGGCCTCCGCCAGGCCGGTGACATAGGGCGCAGCAGCGCCACCAGAGACGGTGTAGAGGGTCTCCCAGGAAAGCATGCAGATGGACAGCCTGAAAAACAGCAAAATATAGGGAATAAAATGGTAATAACGTATCTGTATATCCCCTGTATACAGATGCATGATGTTAGATATATTATAGTTCAGATTGAATTGGGATCTCAATTCAGTTTTTTGGAAATGGATATTAACCAGAAATATTGGGACTTCAAGTGTTTTTCTAATTGGGATATCAACCTGAAAAAGGAACATCCGCAACAGAGAAATGGGGATATCGACCAGCAAAATGTCAGGATGTAAAGGCTGGCTGAGATGGGCTAGGTGTAGCCACCGCGCAAATCATGACCAAATATGTATATATATATATATAACATATATATACATATATTATATACTATATATATACATACATGTGCATATTTATATATATACATATATATATACATATATACATATATATACATATATATATATACATATGTATATATATATACATATATGTATATATACTTGATATCCTACAGCAATACAATATCCTAGTTCCTACAGCCTGACATACATTCAGAAACAATTGGTGACTCGTGGAGCCAGGCCGCGGGCTTTGGCTTACAATGAACTCATCCATTGATTCCATGAAGGTCAGCAGCTGATTGGGGCCTTTGGTCTTCAATGGCTCCGTCAAGGCATCCACCAAGTTCTGCACAAGGGTCACCTTGAGAACAGCGACATGCTGACCAGCACTGAAGGTCGACAAAGTATCGAAAAGTATTGGAAAGAAAACATACATAAACATGTCAAGATCCAACTGGATCGCCTTGGACGAGGCATGACTTTTGCTTGAACAAAGCTACCATGAAGCCTGCATGCTTTGAGTTTAGACACCTTTCCTCTCGGACCATAGGCTCCTTGGTCTAGGCAGCACGAGCCGGGTACCAATCGGCTCAAGTCTAAGCCATGGCATGGCTGCCATAGATCAAAACCAAAGCCGCCTGCATCTTGAGTGTCCTCAGCTGAGTGGAGGTCACACTGAGTCATACTACAAAGGTCATACTACGAAGGTCTCCACATTGCCAGGATTTGGTCAGTAGTTTCATAGTTTCAACCGTCTCAACCATTTCAAACCCCCCAGTCTGGTTTCGGCAGACCAGTCTGACCCTCTGAGGCCCCTGCGCAAAGACCATCCTCCAAATTGCCCGTGCCAATGGACACGACATCCTTCGAACAGCTCTGGGCAGCAGAGTGCAGCAAGTCGTTCGCAATCATCACGAAATCATCCGCAGAAGACGAGTCATCCGAGAGGGCAGCGCCCGGAAGACCCTCCTCAGCAGCAAGGACTTTGGCAGAAAATTGTCTGAACCTCACAGATTTATGGAAGATATGAAAGGTTACACGCTGGAGGGAGAGTCACAGAGGATTTTCTTGTTATATATTATGACTTATCATTTGAATCATTTGTTATCTATATATATATACATATATAGGTTCATCTTCTTGTGAAGATTGTACTGCAGCTAAGCCTCGAATCGAAAGCCATCCACCCCGGCCTCCACCCAATGCCTTGGTTGAGCACTAAAGGGAGAAAAACTGGGATCATTGTGATCAGGTGGAGCTGTCTTTGCTACCACATGTGATGTCTCCATCAACAAAGTTATCAAAGACCAGATGCTGCAGACAGTAGAGCAAATATTGAGCAACTTCCTTCTTGCCAAAGTCAAACTTCTGCGCTACCTCACGCTTTTGCGTGAAGAAGTAGCTTGGCAAATAGGATTTGCCAGCAATTGCTCGTGATGGGATTTCCAAGAAGACTGCAAGACTCCGATCATGAGCATACTGCAGAAATGCTCCGAAATCGCTGGCATCCTTTAGAGCAGGAGTTGCTGCCAGCAAGCTGCTTGTGGCTCTGACACCTGCATGAAAAAGGCCCACTATGACCACTCCATGGTAACCAGAATGCGCTGCCCTGGCCAGGATAGTCCTGGCGAACTTGAGGCTGGATTTCTCATCTTTCTGCGACACCAAAGTAATGTCAAATTCGAGCAGGTGCAGCTTCTTGCCTTTCAAGGACAAGGGCTTTTCATGAAGGTCCTTCCTTGATGGCCCCCTGCTGATGCTTGTTGGCCAAACCACGGCGTTCACAGCTTGCGACTTGGCATTTATAGCATATCGAATGGCCCAGAGAGGCATCATTTCTCGAGGTTCACCTTCTGCTGGTACCACGTGCAAGCGGTACTGGCTGCCTTTAGTCATTGCAGCATTCAGTGGTGAGCCAATGAAACAAGACCAAATATCAGGCCCTGCTTTTTCATCCTTCTTCAATGGAGTTGCAGTCTCTTTCCAACCATTAAAATCACCCACCAAAGAGACATATGTTGCGTTTGGTATCCAGTCTCTGAATAGCCATCCGCCGTTGCAGTGGTGCAAGCCAAAGTCTTTGAAGATCTTTGACAGGTCATCCAAACTGCCTGGACAATTTGAAATAGTATCGTCAATCGGAAAATCCGAAATAACATAGAATAAATGATTCCTCTTTCTGTGGGGAGGCAAAGCAGAGGTGAAATGTTTTTTCAACATGGTTCAGAGAGAAAAAAATGTACATGCGTTACAAAGGTAATAATTAATACAATCCAGGGCTGCCCAGCTTTGCTTGCGTCTCTTTGTGGCTCTTCAATCGGGCAGACTTTCGGCTCTGGAAATCAATCGTCTTGGGCTCAATCCTGGACTCTGATCTCTCAGGTTCACTGATTGCATGCTTGGGGGTGGTCAAAGATGAGGCAGATGGAGTCTTCTTTGGTGAAAAGGTAGGTGGAGTTGGCATCTCCTCCAATAGTTGTGAAGTAGAGGGCCCCAAGATCATCGCATCAGGGTACACTAACCCAGCATCAAAAGATGGGTCGAAGTATTGTTCTTGTGCGGTGCTAAGGGATGGCACGGCGGAACGTTCCCTGCTCAGTTTGGCTGCCCTGAAGGGTCGTTGAGGGAGGTCAGCATCCAAATATCCCGCAGAGTAGACTGTGTAGTCGCCAGGGAAATAGATGTGAAACATGCCATCTGGGTGCACCCGGCAGTTGAGCAGGGTTGCCCCAGTGGGCCCAATGAGAGCAAAGACCGCATCGAAATAAGCTCGGAGCCTGACACATGCGTCCAGGTCGAAGCGGAATTGTCTCAGATACTTTTTGCCACCATCCCGGATCTCCAGCGCGAGCTTCACATCTGAGGGATCCAAAATATTGTTCTCCTGCGGCGGATCCGCCATACTTCCCTGAGATTTACGATCAACAGTTCAATCAACAGAATGAATTTGGGGTTAATGATACTGGTGGTGGATCTTGATGGCGAGTGGGTTTCTACAAGGTCTCCTGAGGCCTGCTCCCCAATCTACAGTACGACTTCTATCCAATCCTTCTGTCAACTTTGGTCTTTTATGGTCTCTTGGAACATGGAACATGGATACCGAGTTTTGCAATCTAGTCATAGAGATGTCAACCCCCCTGGTCTCTATGATTATAAGTCCGGCCAAAGCACCTAGGCATCAAAATGATCGGCCGCCATAAATTGAATGGTTTCGTTCTACTTAAATGACTTTGTGGGTCAATTCGCAGCCAGAAATTTGGCGTCCTGCAGCAGCTTGGCATCCAGCCAGATGCGGATGCCTCCTTCCAAGAGATCAGCTGGTGCCAAGACTTGGGCGGTCCGGCATGGCAGGTACAAGTAGCAAGACGAGGGCCTTCCCATCGGAACACAACGCTGTGTCATCTCCAAAAATGGAGAATGATATTCAATGATACCCCAGAAGATTCTAGAATTGATACTTTAGGAAATGTATTTGGGATACTTTGACAGATTCTGAGACGGTGTGGATTCAAAGTCTCTGTTCTCTCCATGAATTGTGGTGCCCTTGCAACTAGCTTGCTCACACCTTTTCAATATCCTTCACAGTTTCCATCACAAGGCGCTTTCTGTCAATACCGGCCTGTTGTGTGTCGGTCCTCCCTTGGGGAGTTTGCCATGACCTTCCTCCAGCCGGCAGTGTCCGCCGAATCGCTCCTGCAGCAAGACTGTGGAATGAAATTCATGACCCTCAAAAGTCCAAGCCTTTTCTTCTAAGACAAGCACTTCCAACCTGGCTGGTGATTTCAAACCCCGTCGAAAGATATTTGGTCAGTGAGGATGAGGAGACAAACGCGCTCCCAAGCACCAAGCGGGTCACCAATCAGTCCATCGCCGTTCATTGTCTATAGTTTATATACCAATTATATCTGAGTTCCTCCCCTGGGAAAATTTCAGCCATGAAAAGTAGCCCTTTCCCGTCACATACTGGTTGCATAATAGGTATCCCTCTTGTGGATTAATTACAATTGCACAATATTGCACATTTGCACAAGGAATTATCCCAGCCAACCAGGTACAGTAGATCCAGGATGATCCAGGTAGTATAACCCGCTACAACCAATCAGGCATCAGAAGGTCGCCATTGACAGCTGCCTCATCAGTGTCGAGGACGATGCGCATTTCCTGGTCCTTGCCGATGCCAACCTGCCCCGCGCGCAGAAGAACGTGTTCGGGTGGCTGAAATGCTGAAACTCTGCGACGGGATTGGCTTCAAGACTTTCAAGATATTAAGGACATTGAAGGGCAATTAAGGACATAAGTTGAAATCAGAGCCTTTCGGCAAAGAGCACAAACCATGCAAACTGTTTCGCATTGCTTTGAAAAAATGCCGCTGACATCAACATGTCTTATACAAAGCCATGTAATTATATAATTTTATATAAAGGATGTTGAAATATGTTAAAGGATGTTAAAGGTATTCAAAGAAATGGAAAGACATCTTTCAAATGACCCCCTCAAAAATGATGGAAACATGATGCACCTGGTAGCCCTGAAAGCTGATATTGGGATCAAGGTTCACCACAAAGACCAGGTTTCCTCTCTCGAAGGCCAGGACTTTGTCCATGCCATTGCAGATGGTCACGAATTCGTGCTCCGAGCTCAGCCATTTGAAGCGATTTTCCAGGGCTTGCATCAACTCATCAAAGTTTTGAAAATACTTGTAGCGCAACGCCTCGTCATCCGCCAAATCCCATCTTCTGCGACAGAAATGGTGGCTCCAAGCGTTCTCAGCTCGTGGGAAATCGACCCACTCTGGATGCCCAAACTCATTGCCCATGAAGTTCAGATAGCCTGCACCTGCAGCAGCTGGAACGGCACCACTAAAATCAACGCCTGAAGAAATCCTGAAGATCTTGACCCACCATCCCAGCCGCCTCCCAGTCCCAAGACCAAGAGTCGCAAGACTTTGTGCAGGGCCAAACCGCGATCAACCACAATGGAAGGCTCAGGACATGACGCCAGACTCATTCCATAGTACATCTCCTGGTGGCATGTTTCCGATCCAACTGTCTTTGTGTTTTTTTGGGGAAAAAAAAACTTAGCAAATGGATGAACACCAGAGGTTGGTCTCCTGATCCATCAACCAGAACGCAATGGTCTTGTCACCAACAATGGACTGATCATGTGACTCCGCATAGGCGATACACTTCTCTTTCCACCGTCGGTTGGTGAGGGTGTGGCAAATGTAGCCCACATCCCACAAATCATCTGGCACTTCTTTCAGCAACTTGATCCACATATCAGGAACAGCCATTGCCAGCCGATAGTCGAAACCAAAGCCTCCATCTTCGATTGGTAAACAGAGGGTTGGCATGCCACTCACCTACCGGGGGCAAAACAACAGCAAAGTCAGCCATGGCAGGACCATCAAAGACCCCCCAACTACCGTCAACGGCCGGTTTTTCAGCCCGCCTCTTCAGCCACTGTGATTGCACTTGGCAGTGTGTGGTGAACCAACTCGTTCGCCAGCATCAAATAGATCTGACCTTCTAAATCTGCATCGCCTCCAAAATAGTCGTGGTAGTTCCCAGAAAAGCCTTTCCCGATGCCGTGGGAGTGGTACAGCATCGAAGTGACGCCATCAAATCGAAAGCCATCGAAGCGAAACTCTTCCAACCAGTATCTGATGTTCGAGAGTAGGAAGCGAAGAACTTCATGTTTTGTGTAGTGAAACAGTTTGGAGTCCCACTGGGAATGATGTCCCTTTAGACCTCCATGAGTGTAGCAGTGGTCGGTGCCATCCATCATCGCAATCCCATCCAAGGAATTGGAACTGCAGTGCGCATGGACCAAATCCATGATGACTACCATGCCCAAGGCATGTGCCTCGTCCACCAGCCTCTTCAACTCTTCGGGCGTTCCACATCTGCTGGAGGGCGCAAAGTAGTTGGTCACATGGTAGCCAAAGGATCCATAGAAGGCATGTTCCGCCACTGCCATCAGTTGAATGGTGTTGTATCCCATCCTGAGGCATTGAGGCTGATTGCGGACACCGTTAAAAAAAAAACATTAAAAAAAAAACGTCTAAACAGTCTTCCCTTTAAAAAATGGAAAGCATGTGTTTTCAGTATTCCCTATAATCATATGTAAATATATGTACGTGTGCACAGTATATTATTTTGTTTGTATGTATGTACGTATGTATGTATGCATGCATGTATGTATGTATGTAGGTATGTATGTATGTATGTGTGTATGTCTGTATGTATGTTTGTCTGTATGTATGTATGCATGCATGCATGTGTGTATGTCTGTATGTGTGTATGTGTCTATGTCTGTATGTGTGTATGTGTGTATGTGTGTATGTATGTATGTATGTACGTACGTACGTACGTATGTGCCTACGTATGTATGTATGTTATGTATGTTATGTGTGTTATGTATGTTATGTATGTTATGTATGTTATGTATGTTATGTATGTTATGTATGTTATGTATGTTATGTATGTTATGTATGTTATGTATGTTATGTATGTTATGTATGTTATGTATGTATATGTATGTTATGTATGTTATGTATGTAATGTATGTATGTATGTATGTATGTAATGTTTTAATGTATTAGAATGTATGTATGGTATGTATGTATGGTATGTATGTATGGTATGGTATGGTATGGTATGTATGGTATGGTATGTATGGTATGGTATGTATGGTATGGTATGTATGGTATGTATGGTATGTATGGTATGTATGGTATGTATGGTATGTATGGTATGTATGTTATGTATGGTATGGTATGGTATGGTATGGTATGGTATGGCATGGTATGGTATGTATGTATGTATGTATGTTATGTTTTGTTTTGTTATGTTATGTATTTATGTATGTATGTATGTATGTATGTATGTTATGTTATGTTTTGTTTTGTTATGTTATATATTTATGTATGTATGTATGTATGTATGTATGTATGTATGTATTGTTATGTATGTATGTATGTATGTATGTATGTTATGTTATGTTATGTTATGTATTTATGTATGTATGTATGTGTGTGTATGTATGTACGTACGTACGTACGTATGTGCCAACGTATGTATGTATGTTATGTATGTATGTATGTCTGTCTGTCTGTCTGTATGTCTGTCTGTCTGTCTGTCTGTCTGTCTGTCTGTATGTATGTATGTGCGTGTATGTATGTGTGTATGTATGTATGTATGTATGTATGTAGGTACGTACGTACGTACGTATGTGCCTACGTATGTATGTATGTATGTTATGTATGTATGTATGTCTGTATGTCTGTCTGTCTGTCTGTCTGTCTCTCTGTCTGTCTGTCTGTCTGTCTGTATGTATGTATGTATGTGTGTGTGTATGCGTGAATGTATGAGGGTATGAATGGATGAATGCATGAATGAATGAATGTATGTAAGTATGAATGTATGAATGTATATATGAATGTATTTCTGTATGAATGAATAAATGAACGTATGTATGTATGTATGTGTGTATGTATGTATGTATGTATGCATGCATGCATGTATGTATGTATGTATGTATGAATGTGTGTATGTATGTGTGAATGTATGAACGTATAAATGTTTGAATCTATGCATGAATGAATGTATGTATGGATGGAGGTATGAGTGTATGAATGTATAAGTGTATAAATATATGAATGTATGAATGTATGAATGTATGGATGAATGAATGTATGTATGTATGAATGTATGAATGTATGAATGTATGTATGTATGGATGCATGAACGTATGAACGTATGAATGTATGAATGTATGAATGAATAAATGAACGCATGCATGTATGAGTGCAAAATGTAGGAATATTTGAATGTATAAATGTATGAATATATGAATGTATGAATGTATGAATGTATGAATGAATGAATATATGAACGTATGACTGTATGAATGAATGAATGAATGAATGTATGTATGAATGACTGTATGAACGTATGTATGAATGTATGAATGTATGAATGAATGTATGAATGTATGAAAATATAAATGTATGAATGTATGAACGAATGTATGTATGAATGTATGAATGTATGAACGTATGACTGTATGAATGAATGAATGTATGTATGAATGTATGTATGTATGAATGAATGAATGCATGTATGAATGTATGAATGTATGAATGTATGACTGTATGAATGAATGAATGTATGTATGAATGTATGAATGTATGAATGAATGTATGTATGAATGTATGAAAATATGAATGTATGAATGTATGAATGAATGAATGTTTGTATGAATGTATAAATGTATGAACGTATGACTGTATGAATGAATGAATGTATGTATGAATGTATGAATGTATTAATGAATGTATGTATGTATGAATATAGGAATGTATGTATGAATGTATGTATGAATGTATTAATATATGAATGTATGGATGTATGAATGTATGAATGAATGAATGTATGAATGTATGAATGAATGAATGAATGAATGTATGTATGAATGTATGAATGTATGAACGTATGACTGCATGAATGAATGAATGTATGTATGAATGTATGAATGTATTAATGAATGTATGTATGAATGTATGAATATATGAATGTATGAATGTATGAATGTATGAATGTATGAACGTATGACTGTATGAATGAATGAATGTATGTATGAATGTATGAATGTATTAATGAATGTATGTATGAATGTATGAATATATGAATGTATGAATGTATGAATGTATGAATGAATGAATGTATGAATGTATGAAAATATGAATGTATGAATGTATGAATGAATGAATGTATGTATGTATGAATGCATAAATGAACGCATGCATGTATGAATGCAAAATGTAGGAATATATGAATGTATAAATGTATAAATGTATGAAAGTATCAATGTATGAACGAATGTATGAATGTATGAATGTATGAAAATATGAATGTACGAATGTACGAATGAATGAATGAATGTACGTATGTATGAATGAATGTATGGACGTATGTATGAATGTATGAATGTATTAATGAATGTATGTATGAATGTATGAATGAATGAATGAATGTATGAATGTATGAATGTATGAATGAATGAATGTATGAATGTATGATAATATGAATGTATGAATGTAGGAATGAATGAATGTATGTATGAATGAATGTATGAACGTATGTATGAATGTATGAATGTATGAATGAATGTATGTATGAATGTATGAATGAATGAATATATGAATGTATGAATGTATGAATGAATGAATAAATGAATGTATGGATGAATGTATGAATGAATGAATGAATGTATGAATGAATGAATGTATCAATGAACGAATGTATGAATGAATGAATGTATGAATGAATGAATGAATGTATGAATGAATGAATGTATGAATGAACGAATATATGAATGTATGAATGTATGAATGAATGAATATATGAATGTATGAATGTATGAATGAATGAATGTATGAATGTATGAAAATGAGAATGTATGAATGAATGAATGTATGAATGTATGAATGAATGAATGTATGAATGAATGAATGTATGAATGTATGAATATATGAATGTATGAATGTATGAATGTATGAATGAATGAATATATGAATGTATGAATGTATGAATGTATGAATGAATGAATGAATGTATGAATGTATGAATGAATGAATGAATGAATGTATGAATGAATGAATGTATGAATGAATGAATGTATGAATGAAATAATGTATGAATGAATGATTGTATGAATGAATGAATGAATGTATGAGTGAATGAATGAATGAATGAATGTATGAATGTATGAATGAATGAATGTATGAATGAATGTATGAATGAATGAATGTATGAATAAATGAATGTATGAATGTATGAATGAATGAATGAATGAATGTATGAATGAATGTATGAATGAATGTATGAATGAATGAATGTATGAATGAATGTATGAATGAATGAATGTATGAATGAATGAATGAATGTATGAATGAATGAATGAATGTATGAATGTATGAATGAATAAATGAATGAATGTATGAATGAATGAATGAATGAATGTATGAATGAATGAATGAATGTATGAATGAATGAATGAATGAATGTATGAATGAATGAATGAATGTATGAATGAATGAATCTATGTATGTATTTATTATTGTCTTAGATTCTCCAAATCATCCCTTTCCATTGAAAACATCACCCAAGCCAGGCATCCGCTTGATGCGCGGTATCACCGTTTCGGCAAAGTCCAAATACGTCGCCACTTTGGGCTCCTTGGAACTCATCCCAACATGCGCCTCATAGATCTTTGGAGACGCCGGCATGGATGGCCTGAAAACTGAAAATAGCAGGAAACCCCAAACAAATATTTAAAAAATACTGCCATAGTTCAATGATGAAAATTATGATACACCATGATACATGACATGAAAACCATAAATTTGGGGATACGGTGATACTGGTACCATGTTTTCAAACCAAACCAGAACCAGTGGTGGGATGAGGTGCCTGTTCAAACATACCGGGTCTGGCAACTCGAATTCCACCCTTTATACGTCTCAGTAACATTTCCACACATCTTCGTAGAGTTTCTAACATATCTCCAACTTCCAGATCCAGATCTTCGCTTTTCGCCTCGCCTTTCGTGTTTGAAGCTGTACCGCTCTTGTGATGGCGGATGCCACATGACCCCGTTGAAGAGATTGGTGTTATGATCCTGCCAGGCCAAACGAATCCAAGCAGGAACCCTCTCGATCCACGTGTGGTCATTCGTCTCAATTCCTCGACTGAGCAATGCCGGCCTATGCCGGCCTAGGGCCTAATGCCTGGTGCTTCATGGTTTAAAAAAATGGTGATAACTAACTGGTTCAATCGATATGATGATAATATGATGATAAACTATAAGATAAACTATCAGATAAACTATAAGATAAACTGTAAGATAAACTATAAGATAAACTATCAGATAAACTATGAGATTAATCTATAAGATAAACTATAAAATAAACGGAAAGATAAACTACAGGATAAACTAGAAGATAAATTATATAATATTATAAATAAATAATCCTATGTTACCTAATTACATTCATCATTCATCTATATTCTGGAAAACCCCGTCAAATCTATCAATCAACCTTGGTGCGTGGGAGCATCACCCAGGAGTTGAATTGGATTGACATTAAATGTTGTTGAGCACTGTTCAATGTTGCTAGCGTGTTGCTACATAATGCTAAGGTGCTAAACTTGGTGGTTGTTAAATGCTGTTAATATATGTTCAGATTAAATGTGTTATATAAGATATGCTTAAATGCGCTCAACCAAATTTCACCATCTCGTGGTTTACCGCTGGAAACAGTCATAAATAGTGTCATAATATGTTTAAGCAGCACTATATTGGATGAAGTGGCCAGGGCTCAGTGGGGTTGGTCATGACGAACACTTCTACATGTAAAGAAGCCTTCCCACAGGTTAGAAAAAGGATCAAGAGATGCCAAGAGATGTCAAGAGACTCAGTTTGACTTGACACTTGTGAGGGATTGCTGGCTTTCCATCGCAATCTTTGAGCTCCACAGCCCAGCGTCCAAAGCCCTGGCCGAGACCGGTGCTCCGCTGTTAACTGTCAAATAGCTTGCAATTTCAAATGGATCTTCCTCCTCCCAAAATATAATATGGTATTCCAGGTCTTGAATGGTCTTGACCCATACCCATTCTCATCCATCTGCATCCCCGATCCACCCAACGTTCTTGAGACGGTTCAAATCGTGTATCCTCGCCTCCGAAGTTAGAGGTGTGGTATTTTCCCACTTGTTGAAGTCGCCAATGAGGAAAACTTGCTTCGCATTGGGTACCCATTCACGGTAGGTGATGCTGCCCTCCTCCAGCTGTGCTACAAACATGATCCAAAAAGTATGGTAAGATGCCTTGCAGTTGGGTTGGAGGGACAGGAGTTTCATGAAACAATAGCAATCAATAGTTTCACTTCGAAAAAGAACAGCTTCGTACATTTCCCTTCAGCAGGTGATCCTGGCAAGTAAAGCCAAAGAGATCGTATCCACCGGCGAACTTGTAAATGCCGCCTTCCAGCTTTTGAAGCTCATCTTTCCACCACCTTCACCCGTGCGGTTGGCTTGCAGGGATTGTTGTTGGATTATGGCGCTACAGCACAATGCAAGTCATCACGATCAGAAAATATGAAACTTTGCAGTACGTATATGAACCACCTAAGAGTATCAATCAAACACACAGCAGCTTGGCGTTAAGGATTTGTTTGCGCCTGAATCCTTTCACACGCTCCCAAATGAGGTCTCCGACCGATTTCAAAGTGGGGTCAATTTCGAAGACTTTCAAGGACATGTCGAATCAGGATCTGCTTTTCAGACTCCAGTACCATTGCGAAACACCAGCTGTCCCCTGAGGGTCAGCACAAAAGTTTGGCATTACCTTCTCATTACCTTCTCGCTTTGAGTCTTTGAATAATATTTTGTACATATTTTGTATAAATATCTGAAGTAACCTCGACCCTGGAGCCTTGGGTTGTTTGCAAAGGTTGATGATTCAAGCACACTGAAGCTCTCTGAGCTCTTGCTCCGGGTCATGTTGCAAAACACTCTCGCTAAAAATATTGGAGTAAGATGAATGATATATGATGATGTCCTGAGTCCTGATGTCATTCTATGTCTTTATGATATTTTATGATTCGTTATATTGGAATATATTGGAATTCTTGGGCCAAAAGGCTGTTTTTCAAGCAGTGCATGCAGGGCACTGCTATTTGAGCGGGCCAAGATCCCAGCAATGCAGGGCCCATGTGACTCTTCCCTTTGCTGGGCTTCAGGCTGGCTTAATGCCCAATGCCAAATGCTCGGCCTGGCACCAGTGGCACAATCCCGGCGTGCCACTAATCATAAAGCGTCATATGGTAACATGTCCGGCAACAAAATCAACAGGTGCACTGACTGCAGTTGCCGATCTGTTTTTCTCTTGGATAGTACCAGGAGTCCTAGGCTTAGCCGCTTCCATTTGGGAAGCTCTCGAGAGGGCCATGGGGCCACGGGGCTATGGGGCAGCCCCCATTCGTGGCAGCTTGCCAAAATGTGACGCACTTTGCACTTTGGAAGATGCCCAGGGGCCGGGCTTGGAGGCGCCAGTGTCATTAACATAGCAATGCGAAATCTGTTGCTTCGCACGGCTGCGAACATTGTCACTCACAGCGTGTCACACGATGATGTTGGAGTAACTCGAACGGTTCGAGCGAAGGGAAGTACCTCAGCAAAGTGGGGAGGGACAATCTATCCATGGCACCCACCTGAACGAGCAGCTGACCATTGGTCGTTTTGATCGGCCGTTCGATGCTTCAAATCTCTACTGATCTATCATCCATCTGAAATTTTGGTCTCATACTGGATGGGGGACAACTTGACACATTTCAACCATCTCTAGAGCAACCAAAGAACCACGCGATCCTTGAGAATGCGTAGAGGAAGCAGACGGCTGGAGTTGCTTTTTCTTGCCAAAGCAGGCCTCTCTGACTGGCGGCAAAACTCCACTAAAATGCAATGTTGCCTTTGTCATCCTTTGTCCGGATCTGGATCTCAAACCTCCTTCGGTTCTCAACTGCCTAACGCTGACAAACTCTGATCAGACTGGCTATGTGGCTCTATTGTTGCGACAAATAAGCCTTCAATGGCAGGCATAGTCTTACTGCATCAGCCAAGTCACAAACAAGCAGTTGCATTCAGCAACCCTTGGCCTTGGCTTGTTGGAATGCGAAAGGTCTTTCCAGGAATTAAGCAATTAAGCATAAGTTGTGGTTAGTTCCCCCAAGCATCTTCTGGTGAGGGGGCCCTACAAATCCTCCAGAAAATTGTGAGTTATCACAGGAAAGACCTGGAAACGGAGGGGGCAAGCATGCAGCAGGCATCAGCTGGCAAGCCCATCATTTTGTGCTTCGTCCACAATCTGGCACCAGGAGATGAGGTGAATCAAAAAGTTTCTGGCAAGGCACTCATCTAGAGATCTCAAAAACCGCTCTTGTGACGGGGTCTGCAGGCAGGCTGGTCTCACCAGCCGGGCCCATCCAAAGAAGGCACCAGCCGTCAAGCCTTTCAGGAGTGGTAGGCTTCTTCAAACAATCCAAGAAAGTTTCAAACAAGTGCTGGTGAATTGGGATTCTCCGATAAATGGACGTACAATGTTAGTGTTGCCCAACCCAACCAGACATCAGGTTTTTCTTTGGCTACTGCATCTGTCGATACCAGTCTAAACAGTTGTCTACACCAATCCTCGTCACATCTGAGGCCCTGAAACTTGTGGGGCCTGGGCTGAAAGCAACTGCTAGGGCTGCTAGCAACGACATGGAACGCCCCAAACCGGATTTGCAGTGCACCACGACCTGCAGAGCTGAGAAGCTTCGCGTTCAACTCTCTGAAGAGGCGGTAAGAATGACACACGAGTAGGCTTGGGAATGGAAATCAAAGCACATTTCATGTATGATTCACTGATGTTCACTGTAGCAACCGCCATCCTAATGCAAATCAACTGTGCCAGTGAAGATCACGAAAATCATACAGAGACGTTACATCTGCGATAAAGTGGCTGAATGAATCTGAGATCGCGATTCCGATGTCTTGGCTGCATCCTCCAAAGCAGTCACAGCATGTCACAGCCCTATGGAATGTGTGAAGTGTCTTATCTGTCTTGTTATAGATCAACACACCAACTCGTTAGCTCCTTCGGGAGAACTATGCTTTGCAGCAGCTGCTCCACAGCTGCAATTAATTTGGAGACCAACGACAACGGAGGTGCAGAACCTTGGTGAGCTGTGCATAGCCTGCCATAGCCTGCTGGTGTGTCATAGTGTGTCCATGGCAGGTCATTACGCAGTTGACTCAGATCTGCTCACCCAAGCATTTCCAGTCAAGGAGCCGTCAGGGAAAGGCAAATCCAGCTGACTGACACCTGACCTGCATTGTGGCTGTGGATGAATGGAGACAGCGTTTCTCCTTTTTCAGGCTGTGCGGTGTAAATCACGGGACAGTGTGTCATAAACTCATAAAACGCAACTTGCACACTGATAGCAATGAAGTGTGGAGGCATCAAATTCTCCAACACATGGCAACAAAAGTGTCCTAGGATGTGTGTGTGTGTGATACTATCCAACCTTCCTTTTCGGCCGGATGCAAGGATATGTACAAGAGCGGAAATCCAACTTTGCTGCGAAGGCTCTTTTGCGGATCCTCTATTTGCTTAGTCACAAAGCCATGCAAAGGCTGTGCACGCAAGCGATCTAATTCGTACACGCAAAGCGCTTGCAAAGGCTCTTGATATATAGGAGACTTTAGGGAGATGAGATAAGTATAGATAAGTATAGAATAGTATAGATAAGTCAAAGATGCCATGGAACGGTCGCCAAAACAACATTGGAGGCACATTCTGAAAGGGAGGTCTCCACCTGTCGAGAGTATCCCTTGATATCCGCTGCTTTTTGCCCCACAACTCCCCAGAAGCACAACGCTCACAATGTACACGCTTACAGCCTGGCTTAGCTGGCCTTCCTGGGGCCAAACCCATCAGATCCATCAGTGCGCTCTTCTAACTCAGTCGCATTTCTCTGTTAATCATCCGAGACTGGGCCTCTCAAAGAATCTTCCATAGGAGCCGCCTTCTGGCAAGCCTGAAAGGAGGTGCAGGTGATGCCTTCATGGTCAAATCAGATTCATGGTTTCATAATCTGCTGGTACATGTGCAGAGTCATCAAATGCCGCGACGCATCTGAGACGAAAAAAAAGCAAGTTGCCTCGTTCATCAGGGAAATTGGCCCTGGCAAGCAGTGAGCAGCCTAAGTCAAGCTGACACCCGGCATCACATTCAGCTCAGTGTGGAATGGCTTGCAGTGTCTTCTCTTTGCGCAGATGACTTCTATCTTCCGCCAAGCAGCAAACTTTCTGCTTCAAGAAATGTGCAAAGGTTGTCAGATTGGCTGGACGTTTCAATGCCTGATCAATCTTCTTCTGCTCCTGGCAAAGGTTTAAAAGATTTTAAAAGCCTATAATGTAATTGTTGATATAGCTGCAACCGTCAAATGATACGCAAAGTGGCGCGAAGATAGACTCAAAGTAGAAGGGGATAAACGTTGCATCTGCATCAGTGAATCACTGCCCGGTACCGGCGGCACTGTCCATGCTGTTGATTACGCTTATCAAGGTTGACATGGTGTGCCATCTTCAGTGTTCAGCTCTCGTACACACCCAGTACATGAACAAATATATCCTTTCCTCGCCCAAGCCCATAACATAAAGTAGACACAACCGTTGTTTCCCAGCATTGCTGGGCAGGTGACCTTGACCATTCATGTCAGATCTTTTGCGAAGGCATACCATACCGCATCCTACCATCCCAGGATGCCCCATGATATCCCATTCCTTGGTCGGGAGATGTTCAGCTTTGTTTGACCGCAGCGGCGCGATGAAAGAGTGCGCTTTTGGTGGCGATCGCGCTGCGTAGTTGTGCATCGGTGTAGCTGATTGATCTCCATCCTCATCCACCGTGTGAATGTGCTCTGAGCTCTTCACCAAGCGAAGGGCCTTGTGGATGTGATCTCCACACGGCTCGGTGATTCCTCTGGTGAAGGTGCGGGTGCCACCGGGAGAGAGATCGAATTCATCCCACGGGCTGTCAATCAAGGTGTCCGCCTCCCGCTTGGATGGATCCTGCAAAACTCTCAAACTCTCCGAAGTGGGCTGAAGTTCTTGGCTGCACTCAGTTGTATCATGTTGTATCTGATCACCCAAAGAAAATCACCCAACATGAAAATTAGACTCGTCCAGCAGTCCATCCGAAATCCATCCGAAATCCCTCTGAAATCCTCGACCGTCGTCACAGGGTCAGCAGCTATCCAGAACTGCACTGTGGCAGACTTCTCGTCTTTCTCTTCCTCTTTACGCTCTTTACCTGCGCTCAGCAGTAGAGAGAAGACCTCAGCTAAGGAGCGGTGAACAAAAAATCAAGTCAAAATAAAGATCAAGTATTCACACTTGAAGGTGCCTGAAAGAAAAAAAATGTTTGTGTACAATGGAGACGCTTGGAGACGTCATGATTACAGACGTGTAAACATAATGCATTTGATCTGATGTGCTTCAATGTTATTTACTGAGGCCATCTGCAGGTATTGCATCGTAAGCCCGAGCAATCTGCCGCCGTTCCTGGAAACACGCTGCGCAGCTAATTTACAGGCGACCGTCTTTGGCAGACTTCTTCAAACATTCTTCCTTCTTGAAACCCATGGGGACAATGAAAGTCCCCCTCAACTTGGGATTCACTCGATCTGACTCAGAATTCACTGCCAGATCTCTAAAGAAAACATGCCGAACATGTTTTGCCTAGAGAGTCATAGAGTAACCCTGAGAAATTTCAAGAACTGTTTCAGCTGTTCCAACTCGGGGATCTGTCCTGCTCAATGCTGCTATTCAAACTCTCAAAACTGTCATTCTGAAGATCTGGTACAGTTATACTTGAAGCGCAGCCGCATAGTCTAACATAAGCAACATAAGGCATAAGGCAGGTTCAATATAGAATGAACATGAGTGAACATCAGTTTTCCTGGCCGGAAATGTTCCAAAAGGGATGCTGTCATGACATTGGTAGGGAAAATGGAATGTTGGCATCATGGACGGTGTTTCCGTGGCCAAGTCGCTGCATCACTTTGTTGAAGCAACCAGTCTTTACAAAGCGCCATTTCCAAACCAAAGAGACCTCGGTGAAACTGCCATGGGCCATGGCACGACTTCGAGTCCGAAATTGTGCACCATTGTTGGAAGTCAAAAAGTCAAGGAACAATCAGCAAGCATCAGAGAATCTGCCGTGAAATTTGGCGTTGCCTCGGCTGGGAATAAAGAGTCCATGAATCATCTGAGTCATTTGCTGAGAGTCTCAGAGTTCAAAATTTTACAAAACAATTTTGCGAAACTATACGGGGATGGGTCAAAACCTATATTTATATAATCATCACACTTGGGGGAATAACCATCCATTACCTAGGGTGTCAGGGTTTTGACTCACAGGCCATATGATTCAAATGTTGGAATGCTTTCACGCCCCGAACATCTGAAACGGCATTGAGGCAGTGTCCAAGAACGGAGTGGGAAACCGCAGTTCCACGGGCGGAATCGCTGGGCTGGACGTATCCACAATGCGCATCACCTGCTGAGCTGTATGCAGTGAAAGGATGTGAATGGGTGAAAGACTTAAAGAGTCAATTCCAAATGTGAAGCACCAACCTCCACTTCGACTAGATTTCACGCCCACTTTAAGCCACTTGATGTCAATTTTCGCCCAGTTAATGGATCAATAAACCTTTAGCTTCCAACTTGCACTCCGACGACAAGTACTCCACAGACTGGCTAGTAGAGAGATGCCTTCCTATCAAAGCAGCAGTTTCATCACAGGCTTGATTGCCTGGTTAGCAGTGTAGCCCCTCTGGAGGATCAAGAATGCGCCCAGCAGTAGCAGCGAATTTGCCACCTGGCCCATTCACTGGCAAACGCCTCCGGCAAAAATCTCTTGAGAATTGCTACTAGCGTTGTGAGCAACTCAGGGGTAAATAAACATGTTCGTTGTTATCTCGTGGTTATGATGATATCATGGCAGTCATCCCCACTGAACCTGGAAGCCCTGGAAGCCCCGCGAAACCACTGGCCACAAAACCGCAACATTGGGTGGCCCAAACTGCTCCTGGTCTCCGCGAGCAACTGAGGCACACGTTTTGCTCTTCGGCCTTGCAAAATGGTCTGCTGGGGACCCAAAAAACAGAACCTGAACGCGTCCTTGTCGGCCAGTGTCTGAACTCACAACATGCCAGTTGCCTTCTCCAGAATGGACCGCAGGTGGTTGCAGAAGTCCATGATGGTTTCCTGAATTGGCTGCAACAAATCTTTAAATCGACAACCAGCTCAGATCCAGAAGACCGAGCCATGCCAATCTAATTGAGCCCAGGCGGCCAAACCCAAAGGTCCATGGAGATGAACTGCTCCCAAGAGTTCATTGGCAAAAAAAGGCAGTTCAAGCTTTAGATTCGCCTCGGATCAGAATCTGGTGAAATTTCCTCAACTCATTCACATCATATGTCAGCATGCAGCATGCAGATGCATGCAGCACAAAAAATGTTCGAAGCATGCCAAAGGACTGCAATCTCCAATTGCTCCAAACATAGCACCTCGGTTTCGCCGAGAATAGCCTGGACAATGACCGCAATCCGCAATCTATCTCCTATTTTCCATTCAGTCTACAAGTATCATCGAGATTCATCAAGTATCTACTAGTTACAGCAGTTCTGTCTCGGAAAAACACCAAACGACCGGAACGCACCCGCACCACCCAAAGATACGCAGCACCTGCCAGCATGAGATCCGACATTCGCCGGCAACAGCTAAAGCGCCATCTTCGAGGCCATCGCCACCTGTCAAGCCATAAATCAATCGTTGTTTCCCTATGGTAGTGAAGAATCCACACATAACACATGGATACACATGGATACACATGGGTTGTTTGGGGAAACTGGGGAAACCATCATTTGTTTCTGGTTGCAGTTCCAGCTTCATCCTATCATTCTTCACATGAAAATGAGTTCACATTATTCGCCATTTCATGTTCGCCTCAGATATCAAGACAGCATTCGTCTTCTTGTGGAGACTCGGATGGCCTGCCACCCAAAGAAGTTGGTCTTCAGGAAACGCTCTCCAAAGGGTTTCGCCGGCTGACATGCCAATTCAACGTTTTGAGCAAAGCATTCTGCGCGAGCAAACAGACTTGCAATCAGACTTGCAATGCCCAAAAGTGAAAAGCAATGCCATCCCAGTGCAAATTATACAATTTCTGCGATGCGTGTGTTTGCAGATAGACCGCACCGTTTTGACTTAAAAACTCAACACAAAAGGTTCCCTCTTGGCCTCTTGGCTGCCTATTGATCCGTTTCAGCTGGAAAAACACGTAATTGGCCCTAGAACATTCTTGATCATAGCTTTCACCCTTGGGAACTAAGCGCAACATTAAAGTCAGTTTTGCATCTCAGTTCCTTCTGACACATAAGGGTTTCTATCGAACGCGCTTTTGTGTGAGCTTCGGTCAAACCGCAGCTTGAGTTTCTGAGCAGCAAATGGGACTCTCTTCATTCTACTATTTTACTCTCCCGCATCAGTTTTGGAGTCCCTGAGCGATTCCATGAAAAGCCAAATCTTCGCCGGAAGTCCTCCGCTGTCCAAGGGTTTCCCAGCGTTTCTTCAGAGACTCCACCAGCTACATGTTCTATCAGTTTGAATAAAACTCAGAATGGCCCTAGTTGAGCTACAGTGGGTAGTTGGAATCAGTCCTTCAGACTTCTCCAGTTCACGTCCTGTCAGTTTCCGGAGATACCGTGCCTAGAAGGCAGACAACTCACTCAAGCAGCAAAGAATCAAAGGCAGAACAAGCAGAAGCAGTTGGTACAAACACATGAGAAATGGAAAGTACATGAAGAAATCCTCCCTGGACTGGAATCATGGCATTGAAAGCACTAAACCAAGCAACGAGCTCCTCGGAGCCTTCCAACTGCTTGATGTCCTTCTCGATGATCTCAC